GTTTTGAACACACCTTGTATACAATATAAGATCTTTAGAATGTCAGGGTCAAAATGAGACACAAACGCAAAACAAATTAATTTTAATTTAAAACAACAAAATTTGACGAATTACTTATGTAAATAGTTTTACCTTGTTGGGGAATCGTCTCTATGACTGACATAGTACTTGTGTGCCTGATGTCTGTGACCATGGAACTTTGGCAACCACGCAAGCCTCAGGCCCAGGCTTCTTTTTTTTCTTTTTCCTGCCACTTTGCTACCGGGTTATCAAACACCAACGACGAACTAACACAAACAACTGACTGCAAATCGGTGCATACTTGTACTTTCTAACGTTGCATGTGTGTGTGTGTTTAAACTGATGCCCTAGAAAACGCAGAGCAGGCGGTGTTTGGTTCGAAAACAAGTGCGGCTCGCTGCACGGTGAATGAACGGAAGCGACGGAGCACTCTTGATCGCGAGTGCATGGGATTTTACCTGCGGAGTACCGCGAGGTTCTCTTTGTTTTTTACCGTATGATGACCCGTGCAGTCTCCGCAGCGCGGTTTTTCTCCTGGCCCCCTCTACTGCCGGTTTGCGAGAACCTTCGAAATTTAAAGGGACATTAAATTTTATTACGTAGGCTGGGTACAGCCGTGGCAAAATTGCATGGAAAGAATGTGTTCTTACTTTATGGGTCATTTTCAAGAAACACCCGCTTTCAGGAAAATGAAAATCAAATTTTTTTTTTGCTTAAATTGACTTTTGGTTGGATTTGTATAAATGTTTAGAGTTTTGTTTACTTACATTTAAGACAGGCAGTGCACTTTTTAATTTTTTTTTTACGTTTTTTTCAGAAAAATGTGTTTAGCTAGTTTTATATGTCTCCACTGTGTTACCAATTTGAAATCCAAAATTTAATTCAATAAAAAAAGTTGTTAAAAAAATAATTTGAAATAAAATGTACTTATAAGTTCACAAACTTTTGACTTCAATTTTATTTTTTATTAAAAATTGTATGCCTTTTTTAAATATTTATGTAAGTTAAGTTACTTTTTAAAAGACACCATTCCGATTCTTTGTTAAAAAAACAATACCATTAATATTTTCTTTTAGTCACTTTATTGGTGAGTTAAACTCTAATTTATAATCAGGTATTACCAAGTGATAGTAAAATCATTTTAAGGATTTTTTTTAACAAAAACTAAAAAAAGTAACGAAATAGACATTGGTATCACAACAGACTGGGGTACACAAAGGACTTAATCAGATAACGTAAAAAAGAAACTATATAGGGTGGTACGATTTTAGAGTAATGCATAAACAAAATCCCTTGTAGTGGTGCTCACTTGCAGAATAACAACTTAGATTTTTAAATTTTAGACACCCTTTTTCTTTGACTATAAGCTGGTGTCTTTTATTACTTGTATATTGCGTGGAATTTTCCCTTGGATGTAATCTATATCATGAGTTGTAATCACAAATAATTTTAAATTGGTTTATCATAAACTACTTTTAATAAAAGCGACTTTGTTGTCGAAAAATTCTATTGCGTTACCCTAAATTCTATTGCGTTACCATAAGGTAACGTAATGGACTCGGTAACGCAGTGGACAAAGTTTTGTGAAACCATATATGGTTTATATATTTAAAAAATAATAATAAAACATTACAGTCATTAATTACTCTCAATGAGCTTTAATGCCCTAAAATAAACATAAACATGAAAAATAGTATTTTTTCTTACCTTATTTTTATTATTTTTTTGAGTAACTTAGCGGACAAACAATTATTACATTCGCGTTACCCGCACCTGTTTCAACCGATATCTTCTTCCTGATTGAATAAATAAATTCAGCTGGGTAATGTGTACGTCCGAACATCATTTGTTAATCACTTGAGTGCCAAAAAAGTTGCCATATATATGTTTTCTTAAATATTCTATCGGTAACGCGACGGACGTAATGCAACGGAAAAAATGTCTGAGACATGAGTCAAATTTAAAAAAGTAGATTAAATTAATTAATTTATATATAAATTGTTTACTTTATTAACTAAGGATGTTATGGATTGCTATAAAGCAACACAAAGTTCTGGTTATTCAATATTAAAAAAAAACATGTATGTAAGTTTTATAAAACGCTAATGGGACATGCGAAAATGTGTGTTTCACAAGTTTCAAAATTAAAAAAAAATTATTTTGAAATAACTAAACAAACATTTTCTGAAAGAATTTACTAAGGGCTTTCACTTGGTTTTTAAATCAATAAGATTCGATAATTTTTAACAAAGTTATTGGAATTCAAACTACGGACAGCGGAAGGCGGGTGTTTTTTGAAAACGACCCTTATACATGTTGTTTAATTATCCCTAAAATGGGATAACACAGTGTAAATAAATACATAACAAAAACTTCTGCAATAACTTTTTGACTTACGAATCATTTAAGTTTAAAACTCGGCAACGCTATTTATTAAACATCTAAAAACGGTTGCCATGGAAACAAAATAAACAACGCATTTACAGAGAGCTGAAATTGGCATCGTTGACAGATGTATTTTCTGACATTTGTATCAAAAAAATTAAAACTTTTTAATTAACAAATTTAAACTATTTACCACTTAAAATAACTTTTTTCTACTCCAACCTTTAAAACGCCCATTATCGTACATGTTTCCATGACACTAAGTGATCTTTTAAATACACATTGACAAGTTGTGGCTTTACGGCGCTTTAGTCACGGGCTGAAGTAAGCAACGGGTTTTTAGTCACGGGCTGAAGTTAGTTTTAAGTTAGTTGACAGTTGTCAAATGTCATACAATCGTTAAAATAAAGTGCCTTTCTTGTAAAATAACACTAAATGTGACAATTATTTTATTAGCTCAATACAAAAATACAAAAGTATTAAACAGTTTCTCAACGCCAATATTTGAAAAGTTTATAGGAACATTGTACTGACCTTTAAATTTCGCCGGCAGTAAACTATAACTTAAATTCGGGCACGGACTCCACTGTAAAGTCCTCATAAAACATTTTCTTTACTTTCACTGTGAAAAACTGTCAATTTTCAAGAAATAAATTTCGATTTATAACCTTTATAATCTATGTTTATAAAATAATAAAAATGTGACATTTGACGGTGACACACAGATTGTTTCATAGATGGCGCTATATACAAATTTTTGATTTAAATCATTTTAAGATAATAATACGTATTTGTCGTAGAAAAAGTATAGTATGCACCTCGTTTATAAACTTTTCTATACACTCTTTAATTTAAGCACTCGCTCGCAAGCTCGCTCGTGCCTAAATTAAATTCGTGTATAAAATGGCGTTTATGAAACTTGAAACATAATATACTATTAGTACCTACCTAGTTGCTAAAATATTCTTACACATTTATTACATAAACCAAACTGACTTGCAATTTTTTGGAATCTACGCATACGAGTTTAAACAATTTTTATTAACAATTTTTTCCTACTTGTCTCAAAAAATTTTTAAGAACGCTACAGGATTTTGAAAACCGCAAGATTCAAAACGCTTTGATGACCTTGAAGAGGGATGCTGACGTCACGATTTTATAACAGATTTGTCAAGAATTACGAATGAATCCAACGTGTTTTGTAGGTTATGTTTATTGTTTTTTAAATTTAAATTAAAATCGTTTGAAAATTCCGGAGGTGCGAATGTAAAATTTTTAAAATAATTTTATGAACTTTGAACTTAAATACGCTGATACCTAATGGTTTTATAACAAGTAAAAAGATTATATCTGTCAAAGAATTTGGTTATGTTCGGATTTATTATTTTTGCTTATACGGCATTCGTAAAACTTGACTAACAGGAAAAATTGATAATAATTAATTTTTTTCGAAGCTATGGTTGTTTTTAGTGCCTAATTTAATAATAGAAGTAGTTTAACACTAATTTTTTGACTGCTATTTTTATCAGAGTAATATTGTTTACAAAACATTAATATTAGTCAAAAATTGTTTATAAAAACAGTTTGTAAAATATCTGTAATTTTTGATAAACTATCGATGACAAATTCTAAGGGTATAAATTCGACCACCCTGTATATTTATTTATACATAATTTTCTTATTTACAATAAAACACCCTCTATTTTATTAAATTTTCTTGAGTCTAAAACTGTAATTAATAAAATGCTAATTTTTTTCAAAAATGGCGAATGCGTCGGGATTAATTTTAAACGTTAAATAATAGTAATTTATGTATCAAGGCAGTAAAGTCGTATTTTTATCAAAAATGTGGAAATTATTTGCAAAGGCGAAAGTCGAGGCAAATAACCACGTGAGTTTAATCTAATTAATAAAATTAACTTATTATTTTTATTAAACAACATTTTATGGAAGGGTCCAATCGACCTCCGCGACGGTGCTTTTTTTAAAATATTATTTAGTTGCTGCTGAGGAGCAGTAGACACATCTTAACATGTATAAAGGGTTGCATACAATACTCGCACTAAATCTGCAGTAAAGTTCTACTTTACTGCCGATTTATTTTACTTTGCTGCCGTTTCTTGACTACTTTACTGCGGATTTCGGATAAAATTATATTAAATACAGGGTAACCCAAAAATAGGCAACTAAGTAAGTTGTTTTAACTATAAAAATATACAATATTTTTGGGTTACAGGGTTTTTAAAACCAAACATCGTTATAACTCGTTATTCCTGGGAATTTTGAAAAAATTAAGTTTTATACAGGGGCCTAACATTAAAGCCATCGAACTTTATTTAAGTACCATTTTTAGAATTAAGAAAATACGCTTTTTTCTTAATAACAATAATTGTTATTTTTTCTTTCTGTTTTCTAACCATGTAGAATTCAAATATGGCGGCCATATGAAAATAACAGATGGCGGTGGTAACTCAAAATCTAGTAAGCGAAACAAATCAAGTTTTCAGTTATTTTCAAAACCGACCTTGATTAAATAAATAAAACAGAAATATTTTTATTATTATCACTAATTAAAATAAATAATTTACAAAGATTCAAAAATATCTTCTTGTCTTTGGCAAGGTTTTCTCAACAAAACTCAACAAATCCTTCACGAGAACATCGGGCATTTCCAAACCGGCAAAGTGACCGCCATCTTTATGCGTTGTGAAATGAATTAAATTTCTGTATGTATCCCTCAAAACTTCTTCGGGGAAGTACAGGAATTCCTTGGCAAAAACTGTACAACCACAGGGCACGCTCTTATCTACAGGATTACTAAAATATAAAAGAAATAAAATAAATAAAAAAAATAACGCACAAAGAAAATAGCTTTACTTGTAAAATCCTCTTTGAAAGATTTTGTAGTTCAAATTTTGCGAATATAGTCTAGCAGCTGTGGTGGCCTTTTGAGGTACCCAGTAGTAAAATATTAGGTTGTCAAAGAGTATTGTGTAATTGTATTTTAAAGGAAGTCCGCCATCTTTAAAACGGACGAAATCTTTATCGGTTCCCACGGACATTTTATCAAACATGAAAGCTATTAAGCCCTGTAAACTTTGATCCAAAGAGACACCTACAAATATACGAAAAAAAATTAAAGTACAAAGTAAAATTTTTTTTATGTAAAGTTCATTTTTTTTATCTGGACTGCGGCAACGTTGCAAATTTAGGGTTTGATTGGTAAATACAGTTTTCAAGTTGGTCGCATTGATTAAAACAAACTAAGCTAGTTATAAATCTAATTGTGATTATGTATAAATTATTGCAGGTTACATTGTGCAGTTGTCAAGTTGAGTTGTCGAAATTCGTAGTTAAAAATGCAATTAATTTGGCTTTGGTGGTGCTTGGATGAGTAAAATCATATACAAAAAGTAGTTAAATATAGGTTGCTTTACGGCCCAGAAGAGAAAGTATTCCTAGGGGATAATAATCTTCGCTTTGAAAAGAATTTATATAAAAGAAATTAAAATTTTTTGTGAACGTAAATGTTGTCTAATGCCATGTCTAATGCCAGACTAATGGTGAATAATTTGAAAATAATGTGTGATGTAATATTTATAAAACCAAATTCGTTACTTTTTTACTCCAAAAATGTCCATAAGGCGATGTACTTTTTCTTCCATTGTGGCATTTGGCATAATTTCATCAAAATTAAGTTTTGCCCTCAAAAGGGCTTTTACATTTGAATTCGTTGCTAATATTTTTGGCATAATTATCTTTTTATTTATAATTGACAAGTAATATCATAAGGGCATTTAATTTTTCCGAAAAAAATCGAAAAAACACGTTGCTAAGTAATATTTTAACAAAAAGCATGAGTGCTGGTGGCAACAAAAATCCGAGTCGAAGAGGAGGATTTTTGCACCTGCACGAATGCATTTTGTTAAAAAATATTACTTAGCATTGTGTTTTTTCGATTTTTTTCACAGGAAAAATTAGATGCCCGAATGGTATTTCACAAGACTCTTTCATGAGTAACAGTAAAAAATTAAAATATAAATTGCAATTTTTGTTGACAACAGCTGTCAAGTTTTGCCGCGGGTAAACTCGAAAAAACTGCTGACATGTGCTGTCATACAGTTTTTTCACCTAGAAACCATTCGTAATTCAAAATTGCGCGTTTGTGATTGGTCGAAATTAAGACGAGGGAAATAGTCAATAATAAATATTATTGTCAATTTGACAGTTTCAAAGTATTTAATTAAATTCTTTAGCAGAAGTTCCATTTTTAAATACAAAAAATACTAAGTCAAACTGGCATAAGCCACCAACCTAACAAAAAAACACGAATCCAGATAAAAAAAAATGTATATTTAACATATTTCTTGTGTCCCAGAAAGCCCACTTAAATTTTTTAGTTTTTTAATTTTTATTACTTAAGTATGTTAATTTTTAACACAACAGAATGTGTAAAGGAAAATTAATATGTTATTTTTTTTACATAACTGCAAAGTTAATTTAACCTAAACTAATAATTAAAATGATTTAAAATTTGTATAACTTTAACATAACTGAATATGTTAAATTTATTTACCTATATTTTATTTATTTTACACAAAAAAGTGCTACTTTCTATTGATTTTACATAAATAGTATGTCTTCATTTAATTATTTTCATTTGTTATTTTAACAATATTTTTTTATTAATTTTTACATTATTAATTGTTTATTTTTATTTATTTTAATAAAATATTTAAATTAATATAAGAAAATTGGTTTTTGGGCAATAAATAAAACATGTAAGTATGTAATAATAATGATTTATTATACTACAACATAATTTTAAAAAAAGGCCAGCAATAAAGCATTGGAATTCACTAAAATTGCACAGTCCAGTCCTTTTTTTTGTATTCCAAAATAAAATACAAATCCATGCCGTAGGGTAAACGGTCTTCAAACATTTCTGGGGATACCAACGTTATGTACTTAAGTAAAAAAAACATTATCATAGCAAACTTACCTTTAAATTTTGTTAAACACACGCTTTATAAAAGCACACTTAACCTTACAATTAGGAACCTCTAATCGAATTAACTATCATCAACCGACTAAACGCGGTTAGAAGACAAGGGGTCTTGCAGGGTACCGATTTTAATCGAAAGAAGGCGAAAATTAGCGAATTAGAAAAATAACATTTATATTTAAGTTGATTTAAATAAAAAAATACTATATTGTTTTAATTTGATTAAAAATGTTCTGTATTCAAATATTTTACAAATATTTTTGAGTTAGATTAACACTTGTTTAAACTAATGTATTATATTGAAATTAACATAATTTTCTCGTAACATTAACTACGAGCCCTAACCACATAATGTTCGGACACTTCATAATTTATACAGAAATTTTTTTCGTGAATACTATCTCAAAATTATTAGAAGTTATGAAAAATTCAGCTTATTTTGGCATATACCCCTCGAAGCGATTTTTATTTTTAAAAAGTTTACCTTTTATTTTTAGCTTTTAAAAAAAGGCTAACTTTTTAACTTTTTTTTGCATGACTAAAAAAAGTTATAAATGGGCCCATTAAAAAGAACATAAAATATTATACAAACCCTGAAAATTTGGTAAAAATTGTATAAATAATAAGAAAGTTATAGCGATATATATATCTGCAAAATCTCCCGTTTCCTAAGAAAATTGCAAAAACTCTTTAAAAATAGCATTTTTAAATTACTTATACTTTTTTATAACTTATTTATTTTTTACCAAATTTTCAGGGTTTGTATAATATTTTATGCTCTTTTTAATGGGTCCATTTATAACTTTTTTTACTCATACAAAAAAAAGTTAAAAAGTTAGCCTTTTTTTAAAAGCTAAAAATAAAAGGTAAACTTTTTAAAAATAAAAATCGCTTCGAGGGGTATATGCCAAAATAAGCTGAATTTTTCATAACTTCTAATAATTTTGAGATAGTATTCACGAAAAAAATTTCTGTATAAATTATGAAGTGTCCGAACATTATGTGGTTAGGGCTCGTATATTAGTATACTACAATGTACAAAAAAATTATTATTTAACATTATTATTTGTGTAGGACCTTTTAACACATTAATGTTTGTTAAATCTTTTAAAATTTTAGGATTTTAATTATTATAATTTTTGTATGAAGTAACATATATCATTTATGTTTATGTAAATTTTTAAATTTTTATTTAACTCGCATTATTTTTAACACAAATTTTATAAATTTTTAACTGTGTAAAATTAAACATTTGTCCATATCAAAGTCTTTAAAACTTACCTATTGTGTCAGGTTTCGTTGCTTGTAACAAAAGGTAAGCCGCTTCAGAAAAAAAGAACCTTAAGGTATCCATGGGAGGGTACCATTTGTGTTGGAACTCTTCAGGAAATATTAGGGATGGGAAAACCATTCCCACCAAAATTTTGAATATCGATTTATTAGCCAAACTTATGCAGAAGTTTGAATGAAAACCTACAAAAATTTTATCAATTAATGCAAATTTCAAAAATATTTTTTTTACCTATGACTTGGTGAGGATATAAGGTGGATAAGTGCGTGCCTATGACTGCCCCCCAGTCACTACCATGGACGTAGAATTTCCTGTGACCCAATTTTTCCATGAGGTTTTTGAAAATCAACGCCATTTCAGGACCTTGGCAATCTTTTTTTGATGGCGCATCGGAGTAACCAAAACCTAAATATCAAAATAATCTACATTGTTTTAATTATTCTCTTTGTCAAATCTTTAACATTTTTCTACAAATTACCTGAGAAAACCCAGGACAAATTACACCCGGTATGTTTTTACATAATCATAAAGTAAATTGAAAAACCTTTCGATTGATATTACTATTCACTATACTCAAAAGTTAATAATTTAATAGATATTTAACAATTTCTAACATTTTAAATATTATTTTGTATCAAGAAACCTGTGACGGGTGTTATAACTGTAACAATTTAATAAACCAACAATATTTTAATCAAGAAGATCAACGTCTAATGTGGAAGTAAGAATTAAGAAATGCTTGAATGTAAATGGAGGACACTTTAAACATTTAGTAATAAATTAGTAATAAAAATTGTTAAATTAAATATTGTTGGTTTAATAAATTGTTACAGTTGCGCATTGTTTTTGTTATTAAAATATTTCATAAAATAAATTTTAAATTTTATTGTCTCCAATGAGCTACAGCTTTGTTGGGTTTTTTTTAAATTAACATATACACTGTTTAAAATATCTGTGGTGTAAAGAGGAATCTTAAACTGGTGTCAAAATGCAACACCATATAAACACCATAAATTATGGTTAAAAATGTTATACACCAAAACGGTGTTTATCTAAAAATATTTTAAAAGTGCACCTATAGGTATACACATAAAAAAAGGATTAGTTCATTTAACTATAGTTGATCCATAAGTATTTATTTTTGTATTTTTTTTATTTTTATCAACTGTGGGAGGGTTAATATAAACAAATATTAGTCTGACGGTACTAAACCAGATAGTTATTTTTTTTTAAATTGGTTAAATTAACCCAGAAAACTTTAGTGAAACCAACCCGCTGTATGGTTCAGTTTACTAAATATCTTGTTTGTAAAATAAGAGTTACTTCAACCTAAAGCAGTCTGTTAAAACGATTAAAACAATTTGCCGTGCATTACCGGTTGCATAGTGTGTACCGATCGCGGCAAAGGCGGTGTGGATCACGTGATGTTCTTAAATTTCGCCTCTGTTGACTTACATGAAGAATATATAAGCTGAGGTAGTCCTTTTTAAATATTGCCGTTGAAAAACTAATTAGGTAATACTTTTGAATTTTTATATTAAGATAATACAATAATTTTCACATTTACTTAGTATGATTTCACAGGAAGGGCACTTTATTTTAACGATTGTATGACATTTGACAACTGTCAAATAACTTAAGCATAAGCTTACTTAAGTAATTCAGATCGTGACTAAAGCGCACTTGTCAGTGTGTATTTTAAAGATCACTTACTATAGTTTCATGTAAGATAATGGGCGATTTAAAGGCGGGAGTGGAAAAAAAACTATATAAATTATTAATTAAGATATCTTGTCCATTTGGAAGAAGATAATAACCGTACATTTTTATATAAATGTTACAAGGCCGTAACAATGAATGAAATGAAAACGTACAATTATTTAATTAAGTATATGTATTAGTAAAAACAGTTTTTATTATCAACATTCAATTTACGGGGTTTTAAATACCTAGTAAACTGTTTAATGGTCAAAAATTTAATGGGTACTAGAATTTGCTCCACAATTATTAAAATAATCGGTTTTTAAAACTAAAATTCGTTAACAATAATTAAAATTAATTGTCAAAACCCACGTGTGAGTAAAATACATTAGTTATAATTTAATTGTTTTTCTAATTTAATAATAATTATGTTATGTATTATTATAGGTACAGTGTTGGGGGAATAAAATTCGTTATTCAATGATTTTTATAAAAAACGCTGGGACACGTAAACTTTAGTTTTTTTTATTTCAAATCTTTTAATTATATCTAATATAAATTTTGAAAAAGTTAAATATCTTAAAAATTATTAAAAATAAAATAATAATAATAATAAATAAATAATTAAATTTTAGTATTTCTAGAATTTTACGTAGAATTTAAAAATGCAATAATATTTATATGATTTCATTTGAAAAACCAAAGTTGATATCACCGTTTAAACGGAAGTGATAACGCATGAAAAATAATTTTAAAATAGTATATTATGTATCAAGTTTGGTAAACGCCATTTTATACACGAATTTAATTTAGTGTATAGAAAAGTTTATAAACGAGGTGCATACTATACTTTTTCTACGACAAATACTTATTATTATCTTAAAATGATTTAAATCAAAAATTTGTATAGAGGGCCATCTATGAAACAACAGGGGAAACTGTCAAATGTCACATTTTTACATTTTATAAACACAATTATAAAGGTTATTAATCGAAATGTATTTTGAAAATAGACAGTTTTTCACAGTGAAAGTAAAGGAAATGTTTTATGAGGACTTTACAGTAGAGTCCGTGACCGAATTTAAGTTATAGTTTACTGCCGGCGAAATTAAAAGGTCAGTACAACGTTCATATAAACTTTTCAAATATTGGCGTTGAGAAACTATTTAATACTTTTGTATTTTTGTATTGAGATAATAAAATAATTTTCACAGTTAGTATTATTTTACAAGAAAGGCAATTTATTTTAACGATTGTATGACATTTGACAACTGCCAACTAACTTAAAACTAACTTCAGCCAGTGACTTAAAACCTGTTGCTAACTTCAGCCCGTGACTAAAGCGCCATAAAGCCACAACTTGTCAATGTGTATTTAAAAGGTCACTTAGTGTCATGGAAACATGTACGATAAAGGTGGGAGTAGAAAAAATAGTTTACATTGCCTTATAATTGCTATACAAATTTCAAATCGATATCTTTTTCCGTTCTCCATAAACATCTAATGAATCACCCTGTTTAGCAATAATTGCTACCTTCATTTATTTAATTACGAAAAGTACTTAAACTTTACAAAAAATGTCAAATTTAATTTTAGCATAGTCTAACAAAAAACATGTCCAAAAATATCTCAAAACGCAAATGTTTCTTACCCAAATAACCCAAATTTAAAAAATATGATTTATTTTGTAAAAAAAATAATATTAAAAAAAAAATATTTTTTACCTGGTAGAGAAGGGGCAACAATTTCAAAAACAAATTTCCTGCCATCAGCAGGATTAACCATCTCAGGAATCATTCCATAGTACTCTCTAACAGAACTGGGCCATCCATGTAACATCAAAATGGGAAAAACTTCTACATCATCAGTAACGTTAGGTTTCACGTGAAGAAAATGTATTTTTAACCCTTGCACTTCAGTAACAAACTGAGGAAACGTATTGAGAAATTTTTGTTGTTCTTTGAAGTTATATTCAGTCTTAAGAAAGTCCATGACTTCCTCCATGATTTTTCCTGAGTATCCATACTGAGTTTCTGTGTCTTCCAAGGGAGGTATTTGTGGTCTGGATAGGTTCAATCTATGATGAATGTCTTTAAGGACCTAAAAAATGTTAATAATAATGTTTTCTTGTGTAGTTTATCTCACTTAAAAATTTTTTTATGGAAGCGTTTTCGAGATATAAATTCAATTGTTTTTTTTTCAATTTTCTGAGGTGTTTCGACGTTGACCAAACAAGCACTTAAATCAGAGGTAATTGAGCCCTCTACAACTTTCTTTTGTATAGTTTTGGTATTAGTACGAGGTGTGTTCAGAAAATAACGGGAATTGTTAAATTTCGCGGCTTCGGAGGGTCCGGTTGTCATAAATTTTTATTTATTATGTTGGTATACATGCCCCCGAAGTATGATAAAAACTTTAGCTGATTTCATTGTTTACTTTGTCTGTGGCAGCCGCTAAGGTTAGACGTGTTTTATGAGCTCGGCGATTTTTATTCGTTAAAAGAAATGGATCAAAGAGAATTTGTATCCAATTTAGCTTAAAAATGAAATAAATTCTGTGAAATGTTAACAAAGGCCTATAGTGAGTCTGCTATAAGTAAAACAAGAGTTTACAAGTGGTATAAGAGTTTCCAAGATGGCCGTGAAGACGTTGAAGATGACGAACGCCCCGAACGCACAAGCACATTAACAACCGATAAAAACAGGAAAAAAGTGGAAGAAATGGTTATAAACCATCAGAGAAGTCGCTGATGGTGTTGGTATATCGATTGGCTCATCCCAAGAAATTTTTTCAAATGTTTTGGGTATGAAACGCGTGGCAGCATAATTTGTTCCAAAATTGTTAAATTTTGAACAAAATTTTTGGCCAAAAACAATACTGTAATGATGCCCCAGCCTCCATATTCGCCAGACATGCCTCTGTCTGACTTTTTCCTATTCCCAAAAATAAAGAGAACCTTAAAGGGCCGTCGTTTTGCAAGCTTAGATGGCATTAAAAGCGCATCGCTGAAAGAACTAAAGGCTATCCCAAAGATCGAGTTTTAGAAGTGTTTCGAGTATTGGAAGAAGAGCTGGCATATGTGCATAATATCCAATGGGGACTATTTTGAAGGCGACAACATTAATGTAGACGAATAAATAAATATTTGTTTCAAACAACGAAAATTCCCGAAATTTTCGAACACACCTCGTAGTTCGATACTGGCGATTTTATGAAGTTGAAACAAAGTACAAAAATCGACGTCGAAAATTTACATATCTTTCTGAGAAAGATAGAAATCGAAAAGATAAGTCCATGGATAAATGGCGAAGTTATGAATTTTTCAGTGGAAGAGCAAAATTCAGTTTTTCGAGAATTTTTACGTTTTTTCTTAATTTTTATTTTAATATTGAACATTGATTTTTGTTTTAAACATTAAATATTGAAATTAAATTATTTATTGAATATTCAACAATAAATATTGAACATTGAAGATATTGAAAGTTTTATTTTGTTTTAATAAGCATAGGTTTAAAAAAATTCTGGCTCCTTCTTTGTTTTTTGTTGCTTTCGTATTCCGTTTTTCGTATGAGGGACCAAATGTAATCACCCATCATGGCTGCATCCCAGAAGCCGTGATACCACCGCTCCATAGCCTTCATTTGCTGGTGAAAACGTTCTCCGTGCTCAGGGGCCGTTCAAGTATTACGTAAGCAGATTTACTACAATTATTAACCCCCCCTCCCCCTTGTCAGCAAAAGTAATCAAAGCTCTTACCCCCCCTCCAATGCTTACGTAAACATTGGTCTTTTTGTTTTCAAGCATAGACAATGTGTGGTTTGCCATATATGTAAAAAAGTAAATAACTACTGCTGACGTAATCACCATCTAGACCCCCCACCCCCCATGTCATCAAAAATAAGCAAAGCAAAGACCCCCCTACCCCCCTATAGTGCTTACGTAATACTTGAACGGCCCCTCATCACTTACGTCACCCAGATTGTCCGGGTTATTTACGCACTCGAACTCTCTCCTTCTTTTACTCATTTTACACTTTTTATTAACTAAATAAAACCATTATAAAATTACCTTGTTGAAATATCAAAAAATAGCAGTGAAATGTCACCATGCCAACCAGAGAAACAAAAGAATTCACGTTTGCGGAGTCATGTCAAATTTAAATTTTAAATAATGTTTTCGGTGAAAAAAGTAGGTAAAAAACTCGAAAAATTCCAATCATGCACTTTACTTAGGTTTTCATTAAAGAATAAACAAATTACAAAATAAAATAAAAATCGTCAAAAAGCCCAAAGACCAAAATTTGGTCTTCCACTAAAAAATTCATAACTTCGCCATTTTTCCATGTATTTTTATTAACATTAGCTTGTTCTTTTTGTAAAAATGTCAGCTTCACGAAAAAAAATTTAAACTGGAGTTATCTGTTTGTTTTAAACCCTTCCCAGGACGATATGTAAATTTTCGACCTCAATTTTTGCCATAAAAACGATTTTTTTAAGATATTAAAATCGCTAGCGTCAAAATACTTATCCGATATCAAAAGTATGTAAAAGAAAGTTTTAGAGGGCTCAAATACCTTCAATTTAAGGGCTTGTTTGACCAAATCGATCAATTAGATTTCGAGCTATACTCAAAAACGTCAAAACACCTCCGAAAATTGAAAAAAAAAATTGAAAATTTATATTTTAAAAAGTCTTTCATAAAAAAAAAAATTTCGATTTTGTAAACCAGTGTAATTAATGTAATTAATAAATTAATAATAATTTTTACTTACATTTTCTTTCAAATCTATCCTAAAAGGCCTAACTTCGGGGTCATCTTGTTTCGGCTCTCCGGGTCCCCAGTAAACGTTTTCCAACTTTTGGACTTCACTGTAGTGCAAAAATTTTATGGCATAAAACGTTATGGAAACGAGCAGGAGTAGTGACGAGGTTAACACTATGCTTTTAAAAGCCATTATGCAAATAGTTTTCATGGAATTGTGTTTTTATTTTGTTTTATAAAAAATAATAATAATGAAACTGTGACATAGGTGTAGTAAAACATCTTTTTCAGAGGCGGACTGGGCAGTTTTACTATGAAATTCTAACGTAATAATATTCCGTTTTAAACCAGGGTCGATAATTTTTGAAACCAAAAAAAATAACAGTAGGATGAAACCCATTGGAAATGGAGAAGAATATAATAAATATGAAAGGAAAAATAAATTACGGGCGATCTGACTTCGGGAAGTGGGAGGGGGGGGGGTTTAAGGGTAAAAAATGGTTTATCTCGATTTCCGGCAAAACTACAAGTCCTATGGAAAAAAGTTTAATGGCAAAGTTGTAGGTAATAAAAGGATCTACAACTTTTGTAATTACAATTTTTTTACATAACCTCAAAATTTATGTGAAAAATTCAAAAAACCAAGTTTTTGGTTTTTTATTTTTATCTTTTTCAAAAAAAAAAAAAATTTTTCACGAAATTTGCTGAAAACTTACCTTTTTATGTCCCAAATACACTGTAATTTATTTGATTTGAAATATTTATTATTTCGCCTTATTTTGACTTAATACCAAAAAAGCACCCTAATTTTCAATCGAAAATTCTCGCGTCAAAATATCAGCTTTTTTCAAAAAGTCGCTGTGCTTTTTGTTCGTTGAAATCTCTACTTTCTGATGGTGTAAAAAAAATATACATTACTATGGTAAATGTTCTCAGAAAATTCAAAAAATATTATAATGAATAACGAAAAAAACTCGAATTCGAAAATTTATTTTAATCATTATGTACAATTTCATCAAAAAAATGTGATTGTTGCAATTTTTTTTAGTTAAAAAGTTTTTTTATTAAATTCTAATAACATTTATGTCAGAAAATCTCATAAAATATAAAAATACATGTAAATCATACTATTGAATTTAGATACTTCATTCTGATTACGTTATTCATTATAATATTTTTTGTATTTTCTGAGAACATTTACCATAGTACTGTATATTTTTTTTACACCATCAGAAAGTAGAGAGTTCATCGAACAAAAAGCACACCGACTTTTTGAAAAAAGCTGATATTTTGACGCGAGAATTTTCGATTGAAAATTAGGGTGCTTTTTTGATATTAAGTCAAAATAAGGCGAAATAATAAATATTTCAAATCAAATAAATTACAGTGTATTTGGGACATAAAAAGGTAAGTTTTCACCAAATTTCGTGAAAAAAAATTTTTTTTTTGAAAAAGATAAAAATAAAAAACCAAAAACTTGGTTTTTTGAATTTTTCACATAAATTTTGAGGTTATGTGAAAAAATTGTAAATACAAAAGTTGTAGATCTTTTTATTACCTACAACTTTGACATTTAACTTTTTTCCATAGGACTTGCAGTTTTGCCGGAAATCGAGATAAACCATTTTTTACCCTTAAACCCCCCCCCCTCCCACTTCCCGAACTCAGATCGCCCGTAATTTATTTTTCCTTTAATTTTTATTATATTCCCCTCCTTTTCCAATGGGTTTCATCCTACTGTTATTCTCTTTTTACCATTTTTAAAGGCTTCTGCACTGGTCTATTTTACGATGAAATTGAAATTAAGAAGGTTACAATAAAAATTAAATAAGTACTTGTAGTATTAATATGTTTTATAAAAACGACTTTTTATGCTGTAAAACCTACTCTTATATTTTTTATTTGGTAAAATACTCAATGGTATAAAATGATTTTTTGAATAAATTTTTAAAAAAATATTTATACTCAACGAAATTGTGGCTAGTCCACCTCTTATTTTTTCTATAAACGTTAATTAAATGTAAGTGACCTTACAATATTTACGCGAAACATCTAGGTATAGTAAAACACATTAATTTAAACCGATTAACCTTAATAGTTTTCCAACCCGACCATACATCACTAACAATATAATAATACTCACATTTTTAAGTATAGTTTATTACAAATTTATTCATTTACGCACTTATAATTTTATTACTTTACATCTTAAACATTTTAAAACAACATTATTAGTTTTTGTGAATCACCTTCTCAAATATCTTGACAGCACTGAAAATATCTTCGGCCAGCACTTGTGGTAGTTGAAGAGCGGCAAAATGTCCCCCCGGATGGTCAGTGAGCTGCACCAAATTTGGATGTACTTCGCCTACTAGACCATCTGCGACATAAAAATCGTTTTCGAATCTAGCACAAGCCGTTGGTACTGGAATTGGAATTCTAGAAAACAATAAACATCAATCAGTGTCTACTGCAGTTGCAAAATGACTATAGGACGTGCAGTAAGTATGCTGATTTTTAATTGGTACAGCTATTTCATAATAAACTATGTGATTTTAGCAATTGTCCTTGTGTCCTTATATAAGAAAACCGTATAATTTTTGCATCTTTCATAATTAGTAGATATTACAGCTCAGGTTCCAGATTTTTAACCGCAAGTAATTATTTGTTACAATGTTTTAAAAGTCTAAAACCTATCCTCCGTGACTGTTACTCTTTCTAGGTTAACCTATATGTTTTCAAATATCTGAAATAGTAAAAGCATACTAAAAATATCATTTCACTAAGTAAATTAAACACATCCAAAGCAATCGAGTCAAATATAAAATGTTATTAAAAATTAAAAGAAATAATTTTTATAACCATTTATGTAGGTGTTTCAAAAATTGATTCTATCCTCCGTGAATCTGTTTTTGCTTTAAATTTTATGCAACAGATGGCGCTTTAATCATTTTAAATAAGAAAAAACTTCTGTTTACGACATTATAGATGCATGTGATTCCTGAAGGTCAGTTCAAATTTATATGCATATGAGAGTGTTGCTGTTTTATAATTCAAAAGTTTAAGTTCATTAATTTGCTATTTAAAAACCTATCCACCGTGAAGTGTAATAACTCAGTAAGTAGATTTTTTTATAAATATTTTATGTATGTACAATCGTATTTTTTTAAATATTTAAGTGTCAAAATATATAATAACTTATTTTAAATATATAAAGGGATGTTTAAAAAAAACATACGAAATCCTAACCTCCGTGAATCTATCTTCCGTTAAGCTCTAATATTCAAAATGTATGATTTCTTAAAATTCTTGCATTAAAGCAGAACCACTTATGTTATGTTATTACTAGACCTGGTGGCTTCCCAAAAACCCTATTCTAGACTAACAGTGAAACAACCAAAAATAAAAAATAATCATTTTCACTTGGGTGACATCTCAATATATTCACCCATTTCTGTTTACCGCTTATGTTTAAGTGTTAAAAATTAATAAATCTTTGTAGTATCACAATATTTTCGGCAATATTATTATACAAAAATAGGGCCCACACGGTGTGGGCCACACCGTATATGACGTCACATCCGTCTCGTGTCGTTTTTTATTAATTACTATCTATCTTAAAACGTTCTCTTCCACTTAATCTTCGAATTTGAACCCTGGACTTAAGTATACGAGGTGTGTTCAGAAAATATCGGGAATTTTCGTTTTTTGAAACAAATATTTATTTATTCGTCTACATTAATGTTGTCGCCTTCAAAATAGTCACCATTGGATATTACACATGTGCCAGCTATTCTTGCAATACTCGAAACACTTCTAAAACTCGATCTTTGGGTTAGCCTTTAGTTCTTTCAGCAATGCGCTTTAAATGTCATCTATGCTTGCAAAACGACGGCCCTTTAAGATTCTCTTTATTTTTGGAAATAGGAAAAAGTCAGACAGAGGCATGTCTGGCGAATATGGAGGCTGGGGCATCATTACAGTATTGTTTTTGGCCAAAAATGTTGTTCAAAATTTAACAATTTTGAAACAAATTTTGCTGCCACGCGTTTCATACCAACATTCGAAAAAATTTCATGGGATGAGCCAATCAATATACCAACATCATCAGCGATTTCTCTGATAGTTTATAACCATTTCTTCCACTTTTTCCGTGTTTTTATCGGTTCTTTATGTGCTTATGCGTTCGGGGCGTTCGTCATCTTCAACATCTTCACGGCCATCTTGGAAACTCTTATACCACTTGTAAACTCTTGTTTTACTTATAGCAGCCTTTGTTAACATTTCAAAGAATTTATTTCATTTTTTAAGCAAAATTGGATACAAATTCTTTGATCCATTTCTTTTAACGAACGAATAATCGCCGAGCTCATAAAACGCGTCTAACCTTAGCGGCTGCCACAGATAAAGTAAACAATGAAAACAGCTAAAGATTTTATCAATACTTCGGGGGCATGTATACCAACATAATAAAGAAAATTTTATGACAACCGGACCCTCCGAACCCGCGAAATTTAACAATTTCCGTTATTTTCTGAACACACCTCGTAGAGCATACATTATTCATTTTTACATAACCCAAATACATACACGTAAGGCACCTTTCATCAGCACAAGATTTGAACGCTTGACTCAGGTGTAGAAATCAGAACATACATCAACTTTGACTGCAAATACTTTAGGGAAGTATTGAGAAACTTGACCCATTCAGCACCTTGAATTTCCTATATCAAATTCCTATTCATCACAAAATATTCAAAGACTATGAAGGTGAAAACGTTCACGTAAGATAGAATAAATAATATTCATCAGCACGAGATTTGAACACTTGACTCAGATATAGAAATCAGAATATAGATCAGATAATCTATTTCTGAAGAGAAACACAAAATGTTGCACTTTTTCGTCTTACCCCATAATTCCTAAACCATTATGCTTTATATTAAAAGTCTCAGCATACAGTCTAAAAGCGGTGTTCATAGAATTGGTCCACCAATATATCATGATGTTATCGAGCATATTGGTATAGGAAATCCAGTCCTTTTTCCATTGATTGTGAGGAATTTCTTGCCAGGTCTTGTTTGTCCCGGTCACAAATTTCTCCAGAATATAAGATGCCAAAGCAACTGGAGAATCATTCAAACCTACCCCTATTTTATAAAATATTATTAGGAAAATGTAATTTATTTATCTCTATCTTACCCAGTGTATCTGGTTTTGTAGCTTGCAAATGCAAATACCCCGTTTCTAGTATTCTAATTCTTGCTGCTTCCGATAAGGGATACATTCTATCGACATGCTCTTGTTTAACAATTCCTTGAGGATACAGAGAGTACAGCAACGTCCATAAGTACGATTTTTTCGTGTTTACCACGCACATGTTGGAATGGAAACCTAAAACTGATTCTGGGTGAAGTACCGACAAATGTTGGAGGATGATGGAACCAAAATCCCCTCCTTGGGCATAGAATTTCGAGAAACCTAGTCTATGCATTAGGTTTTTCATCACCACTGCTATTTGGGCAGCACCACATCCTAAAATAAGTTAAAAAGAAAATTTTGGCTCGTTTTTGCTCTACAAATGTTTTTACCTGGCCTTACAGCGGCTTGCGAAAACCCATACCCAGGAATGTGCGGGGCCACAACCTCAAAAACAATCCCGTTCTTGGGGGTCGTCAAAATCGGTATTATCTCCAAAAATTCCCGCACTGAACCTGGCCATCCGTGGAGTATAATGAGAGGTAACACTTTCACTCCTTCGATTTTTTTTGGTTTAACGTGGAGGTAGTGGATATCCAGACCTTGTATGTTGGTTTTAAATTGAGGGAATTTGTTAAAATAGGCTTCTCGTTCCTTCCACTTGTAGTCTTTCCTCCAGAATTCGATTATTTCTTTGAGTAGGTTTGTGTTCATGCCGTATTGTTGATGGGTGCCCTCCAAAGGAGGTGTAAGAGGTCTATGGAAGTCTAGTCTGTGATTTAGGTCTTGAATTTCCTAAAAAATGTGGTTTATTATCTAAATGGAAATGTTAGCAAACAAAATTGTGTTTTTATTGAAGCGTTTTTAAAATATTCGGACGTGTTTTGACGTTTTTGAGTATAGCTTGAAATCTAATTGATCGATTTGGTCAAACAATCCCTTAATTTGAAGGTATTTGAGCCTTCTAAAACTTTTTTTTACATACTTTTGATATCGGATAAGTATTTTGACGCTAGCGATTTTAATAACTTAAAAAAATCGTTTTTATGGCAAAAATTGAGGTCGAAAATGTACATATCGTCCTGGAAAGGGTTTAAAGCAAACAAATAATTCCAGTTTGAATTTTTTTTCGTGAAGCTGACATTTTTACAAAAAAACAAGCTAATGTTGATAAAAATACATGAAAAAATTGCGTTGTGAATTTTTAAGTGGAAGACCAAAATTCAGATTTTTGACGATTTTATTTTATTTTGTTCTTTTATTTATTAATATGTTTATTCTTTAATGAAAACCCAAGTAAAGTGCATGATTGGAATTTTTTGAGTTTTTTACGTACTTTTTTCACCGAAAACATTCAAAATTTGACATGACTCCGCAAACGTGAATTCTTTTGTTTCTCGTGTTGGCATAGTGACATTTTACTGTTATTTTTTGATATTTTAACAGGGTAGGTATTTTTATCATGGTTTTATTTAGTTAATAAGAAGTGTAAAATGAGTAAAAGAAAAAGAGTTCGAGTGCGTAAATAACCCGGACAATCTGGGAAATAAAAAAAAGTGTCAATATCTTCAATGTTCAATATTTATTATTTAATATTCAATATATAATTTAATTTCAATATTTATTGTTTAAAATAAAAATCAATGTTCAATATTAAATTTTATATAATTCAATAAGATGAAGAAAAAACGTAAAAATTCTCGAAAAACTGAATTTTGCTCTTCCACTGAATAATTCATAACTTCGCCATTTATCCATGGATTTTTATCAACAGCAGCTTATTTTTTTCCTTTAAGTATAATCTATACGTAAAATAAATCAAACTGGACTTATTTTTTCGATTTCTACCTTTCTTAGAAATATATGTAAAATTTCGACCTCGATTTTTGTAAAAAAAAAGGACTTTTTCAACTTCATAAAATCGCCAGTATCGAACTACTGAGCCGATACCAAAACTATACGAAAGAAAGTTGTAGAGGGCTCAATTACCTTTGATTTAAGTGCTTGTTTGGTCAAATCGATCAATTAGAACTCGAAGTATACTAAAACGTCAAAACACCTCAGAAAATTAAAAAAAAAACAATTGAAAATTCATATCTCGAAAACGCTTCAATGAAAAAAAAATTAAGTGTGATTTTTACGTTTAGTGAGCCAAACTACATAATAAAATCATAGTGAGACATGTAAACTATAAAGCTTTTTGACTCTATGTTCTTCTTTTTCATAAAATTTAAAAAAACACTAACAAATTATAGAATTTTTAAAATATTAAGTTCACACAAGTTTATTCTTAGAGAAATTCACATTTTTCAATACAAAATTTGTTTTAATATTTTTATCTTTTTTGTATAATACTATTTTTCGTAATAACTGTATGATTCCATTTAAGATTGGTATGTTGTAAGTAGAGCATGTGGTTTATCAGTAATGTTTCAATACAATAATAAGCACTTTGAGATAATATATTGATATACTAATATTGATATAAAAAATATCCTTGAACTTAAAAACTTCCTTATTAGTTAAAACAGTCATTGGAGTTTTAATTGAAATTTTTATCAAAAAGAATTATTAAACTTACTTTTTCCGAAATATTAATCGTAAACGGCCTTATGGATTTGTCTTGTTTTGAAGGTTCCCCTGGACCCCACCATGTTGCTTCGATTTTTGGAACGGCCGGTGGTTTCAAGGCATTGTTGATTAATACAGCGAGAAAAATCACAACTAAACTGGCAGAAACTAAACTTTTCATCAGTCCCATTTTACCTACTATGGAGCGTAAATAAAAATGAATCACTATATTTGATATCAAACGCTAAAAAGGTAAGCACTTGTTGCACGACAGAGACGTATTTTAATTATATTTATTTGTTTTTTTATCGTACAAAAAACGTAGGTACTCAAATAAAATGTATTAATACCTATGGAATAGGTTACAGCGCCAAAAACAAGTAAACATATTTGTTTCGGATTTATTTATTTTTTACACATACAAAACTACATCTAAAAATAAAACCTAAACCTATACTGTACAAAAATGATGGTACAGATTTCGTAATTATTATGTTTTCAAGTTCAAACCAGTTAACACAAAATTCTCATGTCAACTGAAAACAATGATTACGCAATATTTAAATGAACAATAAAATATAAACATGAATAAAACAATAACAACAAAAAACAACATAATTTACTATCACAAGCAGACTAAACAGTCTTTATAGAATTCCTTCTAAATATTTCTTCAAATTTCTCTACTGCCATAAAAACATCTTTAGCTAAAACATCAGGCATCTGAAATGACGCGAAGTGACCACCGTCATAATCCGTGAGTTGAACTAAATTTGGAAAGACTTCACCTAAAAGCCCATCGGGGGCGTAAATGTCATATTTAAATCTTGCACAGGCTGAAGGAATCTTCGTTGGGAAACTGAAAACAAAATAGTCAATCAATCAGTGAACCAGTAAAAAATTAATGGATCAAATTTCATTGTGTTCATCTTAAAAATCTAGAGGGCTTGATTGTTAAGTTTTGATGGATCCACCGTACAGCACCAACCTTAATCCATTAGACTTGGTGGGAACTTTTTGAATATATATACATATATATATATTATATACATATTATTTAGTTTTCATAAAAATTTCTTACCTTACAATTCCCAATTTGAAGTTGATTTTGTTGAAAGTTTCAGCATAAATTCTCATAGAAGTTGTAATACTCCCAGTCCACCAATATATCATGATATTATCCAGTAGATCTTCGTAGGAATAACAGTCTTTTAAACCACCATTGATCAAACTTTTGTTAGTAAAATTTGTCAAGGTGCTGTATTTTTCCAAAATATATGCTGCTAAGCCAACGGGAGAATCATTTAAACCAAAACCTAAAATTATTTACTTTATAGGTATAGGTATAAACGTTTATTTATAAAATTACCTAAAGAATCTGGTTTTGTCGACTGCAAATGAAAATACCCAGTTTCTATCATCCTTTCTTCAAACAACTTCTTCAAAGGATACACTCTATCTTCATGCTCTTTTTTGACAATCCATTGTGGGTATAGTAGACCCAAAAACGTGTACAAATAAGACTTAGGGGTGTAAACTGTACACATATTGGAATGTAAGCCTGCTAGGACTTCGGGGTACAAAACCGACATACTTTTGAGGATGTAAGCTCCAAAATCACCCCCTTGTCCATAGAATTTGTTAAAACCCAATTTTAACATTAGGTTTTTGAGTACCACGGCCATTTGTGGACCTCCCAATCCTAAAATTACATAATTTTAGTTCTAGTTCAAATATTTTATAAAAAGAAGACCTGGTCTAACTGCCGCCTGAGAAAACCCAAACCCAGGCAAATGCGGGGCTACAACCTCAAAAACAATACCATTTCTGGGTTTCGTCAAAATATCTATCAAACTTAAAAGGTTTTTTACTGACTCCGGCCAACCATGTAGCAATAATAAAGGTAAAACCTTAACCCCTTTACTCTCCTCAGGTTTAACTCTTATAAAATGTATGTCTAAACCTTGTATGTTGGTAATAAATTGTGGATATTTGTTGAGGAGTTTTTCGCACTTCCTCCAGTTATATTGGTGCCTCCAAAAGTGGATGATCTCTTGGAGGAGTTTGGAGTTGAAGCCATACTGTTGCTGGATGCCTTCCAAAGAAGGCGTTAAGGGTCTATGGTGAGCTAGACGATACTGCAGATCTTTTAAGTCCTAAAAATGTTATATATATATTTTGTTGTACAAGGAGAAGTTGAAATGATGCCACACTGTAGATAAAAACCCAGCAAATTGTGTTTGCTGTGAAACATTATGTTCACAAAAAACAGGTATATAAAAATATTTAATAACATGAGGCCTTTACCTGGAAACATTTTTTTAACTAAGCCACTTTAAAATAGTTTTTACCTCGATAAGATTGATATCAAAATTACGACAAAGTAACCCCACCTCGTATAAACAAACCAAGATAAAATTACTAACCGTATCACTAATATTGACACTAAAAGGTCGTATATTTTTATCGACAATTTCCTTATTTTCATTTGGGCCCCACCACACTTCATCCAGTTGTGGAACCACTTTGTTCTGATTAAATAGACTTTGAATAAAAAAGCCCAAAAGTCCAATCACAATCACAGAAACAATAACTTTAGAAGTAAAACCCATTTTAAATATTAATGCAAGTGGGAATTTGATAAAAACGCATTATTTGTGTCACTGGGTTGTAAATTGTATTATCTATGAAGTCGCGCTACTAACACGATAATTTTAATTAATATTAAATAAAGTAGACGGCATATAATTTACTACAAAAAACACGTTTACTTATACTAAGTAAATTTTTTTTTGGTACCAAACACTTTTTATTTACTGTTGTACAGTGTGTTTTAACTAATAAGGCATTATGAGATTTTAAAACTATTTTTCGGCTAGCCAATGTTCCCTATCGGATGGCCCCAGCCAGGTGATTTTTTTCAGTAAGTGAACGTGGTATATCTCTTCCACTCTAAGTACTTCCTCTATTCTATTTATTGCCTTCCATATTTCCTGCGCCAGAAGTTCAGGATTTTCGTAGCCGGGAAAATGGCCTACGTCCAGATCATTTATGTGGACTAATTTGAAGAACTTATCCATTAAAATCGTTTCGGGATAGTAGAAGATGTCCTGGGTGAATCTCGTGCAAGCTGTAGGTACCTCGGTTGGTATTCTAAGAAATAAGAACAATCTTTAAAAACATAATTTTATTTTAATACTATATTAGACAATTTAAAAACTACACACAAGTAGTTTGAATCTACAGTAACGATGCCATGGTAAAGATAGGTGTAAAATCCAAAAACATAATAACATAATTTAAATTTTGAAAAATCAAGTATGCCTTGGAAATATTAAAAAACTTTTTTTTGCGTGGGTGACATAGATGAGGGATAAGTTGGGTGGGAGGGTAAAGTGCCTTTCATATGGGATATACGACAAAATATTATAAAGAAAAGTTATTTGGAATCATATTTTAGGTCTATATACCAAATTTCAAATTTCTTGGCCACTTTGATTTTTATTTTTTTAGGTACAGGGTTATTCCATCGTTTCGGGTGTTACATTTGTTCAACCAAAGTCTAAATTTGTATGTATTTTGAAATAAAATTTTAGCAATTAGTGCCGTATTCTCTACGTTTTTAGTTGTTTTATCTAAATTGTAAAATTAGTATAGTTTAGCATACGAGGTGTGTTCAGAAAATATTTGAAACAAATATTTATTTATTCGTCTACATTAATGTTCTCGCCTTCAAAATAGTTCCCATTGGATATTATGCACATGTGCCAGCTCTTCTTCCAATACTAGAAACACTTCTAAAACTCGATCTTTGGGATAGCCTTTAGTTCTTTCAGCGATGCGCTTTTAATGTCATCTATGCTTGCAAAACGACGGCCCTTTAAGGTTCTCTTTATTTTTGGGAATAACAAAAAGTCAGACAGAGGCATGTCTGGCGAGTATGGAGGCTGGGGCATCATTACAGTATTGTTTTTGGCCAAAAATATTCAAAATTTAACAATTTTTGAACAAATTTTGCTGCCACGCGTTTCATACCCAAAACATTCGAAAAAATTTCATGGGATGAGCCAATCGATATACCAACATCATCAGCGACTTCTCTGATGGTTTATAACCATTTCTTCCACTTTTTCCTTATTTTTATTGGTTGTTAATGCGCTTGTGCGTTCGGGGCGTTCGTCATCCTCAACGTCTTCACGGTCATCTTGGAAATTCTTATACCACTTGTAAACTCTTGTTTTACTTATAGCAGACTCACTATAGGCCTTTGTTAACATTTCACAGAATTTATTTCATTTTTTAAGCAAAATTGGATACAAATTCTTTGATCCATTTCTTTTAACGAACGAAAAATCGCCGAGCTCATAAAACACGTCTAACCTTAGCGGGTGCCACAGACAAAGTAAACAATGAAAACAGCTAAAGTTTTTATCATACTTCGGGGGCATATATACCTACATAATAAAGAAAATTTTATGACAACCGGACCCTCCGAACCCGCGAAATTTAACAATTCCCATTATTTTCTGAACACACCCGTATATAGGATAACGATTTTATAAGTCTTCGGGTGTTTCACGATTCTGCCTCTATGTCCTGACCATTGTTACATTTATTTGAAATTTCTTGATTTTTTTTTAGAAAAACATTCCTAAAATAAATCAGCACTCCTATTTACACTTTCTGGAAACTTATTGACAAACTTCCTTTAAATATTCTTTAATCGCATTATTTTCATGAAGAGGGATGCCCCGCTCATTCTACAAAAATAATCACTGATTGGCTAAATAAGTTTGGTGAAAGATGGTTTAAAAGAATGAGCGAAATATCTTGGCCGGCTAGATCCCCAGACCTTACTATTATGGATTTTTTTGTTTGGGGAATAGTGAAACAAATAGTTTGCCAAAAACCCATTCGGAATTGTACTGAAGTATTTAAAAACAGAATAACACATGCAGTCCAACGAATTCCAAGAGAACATGTACGAGAAAGTTTCAAAGAATTTCGAAAACGGTTTAAAAAAGGCGTTAATTTAGGAGGAGGCCTTGTAAAAGCTGATTTCAGGCAACGTTTTTATACATTTTGTAAAAATCCAGGTAGGTACTAAAAAAATAAAAATCAAAGTTGGCCAATAATTTAAATTTGGTATATGGACCTAAAAAGTAAACAACTTTTTTTGTAATATTTTGTCGTATATTCCATAATACAGTGCCTTTCATATTATGAAAGGCATTGTACTAATTTGGTATAGGTTCCTAAATGTTAGTTCTAAACAACTTTTTTTATAATATTTTGTGGTATATTCCATATGAAAGGCACTTAAAAGCTCCCTAACAAGTTACAAAATGGCGAATGCGCCGGGATATTGTCATTTATGAGATTTTTAAAAATTCAGTAGGCTAAGCAAGCATCTCTAATGGCGTAGGGTAAACCACATAGTTATTGGACACTTAAAGAATATTATTTATTTAAAATTTATTTATGCCGTTGTTTAAAATCTAAATTTTTAATATTATTTTTTATAAAAACATGCAAAAAGTAGTAATTGGAGATTTTATATGGTAATTGGACACATGGACCATAGTTATTGGACATACAATTTTTATACAAACATAACAACTTTACATCAAATAACATAAATTGTTAAATATTTTTTAAAGATAAATTGCTGTTTTGGGTAATTTTTTTTATTTCATTTTTGTAAATATCATATAATTCATATATTTCTTTCTCGGATTCCTCATCCCTTTTTTGGATTCTGAAGGTAACTACTAATTCCTTGGTCTGACTTCTGAAATAGTTTGTTGCAAATATCATTAAGTGTGGTATATCTAGTTTGCGAAACATTTATAATGTTTAGGCCGGAACAGGATAATATAAATATAGTAAATTTAAAAGTAAACTACGTACACGTCATCAATAAAACAAAAATTTTACGCATTGGTACCAACACTAAATGACTAAATCGGAGTCTGTAATTGAATATTTGAATGCATTTTAACCAAATTAAGTTGGCAACAATTGTGATGTTGTCATGTTTACATTCAAATTTTTCATATTTAAATGACACATAAAAAAGAATTTGACGTTTTAGAATTTCGAAGCTGTCAGTTGTGTTTTTGAATATTTCATTTAATTCGTGTATTATTTCGTTTATTTTGTTTGTTGTTTGTGTTATTTTATATCGTTTAAGTTTTCATTGCCGTTTTTGTGTTTGTTATATATCGTTTTTTTGTGTTTCCTATATTTAAAATGCCGAAGCATTTAAATAGTCGGAGTCAAGAGTTGGTGTCATCCTTAATACGCTATTTTGAGGCAGAACGGGATAATAATGGACCTTTGTTACCTTTAACAGCTATTAGAGAGGTAAATACGATTATTATTAATTATAAATTAGAATACTTAATAAAATATATGTTGGATACATGAAATAATAATATATATACCAGAGACTGACTTTAGATGGTTTTATATCAGAAAATGTCTTTAAAAATGGCTAAAAACATACTTTTGGCGGTGCATCATATAGGTTATAAAAACTCAGACTTTTGACATTTTGGTATTATTCATGTAAACGCCATCTATCGCCCTGTAGTTGCACTACCACTTTCCCTTGATGCAAGGATTTTAGCATCACATTGACAACCGTGCCCGATCAGCTGATTGATGACGTGTACGTAGTTTACTTTTAAATTTACTATATATCTAATATTTTTTCGGGTGGTATGTTAAAAATATTTTCCGAATGTATTAATTTTGTTGCCATTAGTTCTTTATGTTCTCTACCATGCACTGTATTTAAATCACTGTTATTCTGCAAGATGTCCTGTGACGAAGAAATCACTATATTACTTACTCTTTAAAAATGAATTAGTCAAAAATGTCATAGCGAAAAAGCAGCCACTAATAATTCTCGTCAACAGCAATTTTTATCCAGGACATTTAGCAGTCAACTTCTATGAAATATTATTCGCTGAATCCGTTTTTAAAAGTAGAAGAGTTTTTGAAATTTAATTAATTTTATATATAATATGAAATTGACTATATCTCAAAAACTGCTTAACTTTTATAGTTTTTGACGGTCTTTTCGGATTCAGGGGACAATTTTAGATAAGAATTGGCTGGATACAGATAGAGTATGATATTGGACGTATGTCCAATAATAGAAATTTACATTTTTTACCAACCAGTAATTGGACACTGGTCATTTTACTGTTTGTTTTCAGATTTAAAATAAAATGCTTTAAAGTGACAATGTTTAAACCAAGAGGAACACATTAATACTACACACTGATCTGTACACTATTTAGAAATATTTTTTTATTGTAATTTAAAGACAGACCTGCTCTTAACAAAAAAACATAAAGGTAGTTTTATATTATTACCTACTGAGATATTTATAATTGTATACAGCGTCATGTAATGATTTGATCTCTTGTTTTTAGAGTATTAATGTTAATTGTCCAATAACTGTCTACTTTACCCTACCACTTAAATAATTAACATATTAACATAAAAACTGATAATAAGAAACACTTACAAATCCAACTGATAGTCAAAGTTTCTTTTATTGAAAGTTTCAGCAAATATTCTCATGGAGTTCGTAATTTTTCCAGTTACCCAGTATATCATTAAATTGTCTATTAAAGCGTCAAATTTGTACGAATTTTTCAAACCACCATCTTTAAGCATAACATCTGAACTTTCTATAAATTTATCGAGTATATACGCTGCCAAACCCACAGGGGAGTCGTTTAAAGCCACCCCTGAAAATGATATTATGTAATATGTAGTTTTTTGTTTTATGCACAGAGAGAAATGTATAGTAAATTTTAGATAGTAAAAAAAATATAGTAAAATATACTTTAACAAATTTTTAGGGTAACAATATTATATATTCGTCAATACAATATTAAGATTGTAATACAAAATAATATTTTTTATTATACAATTTTTAGTAAAGATTATAACACCAATATTACTAAATCATAAATGTATAATATATATTTTAATTTTTAATATGTTCGTATATTAAATTGATTTTACTATCTACAAATAGTAATATTTACTATATGATTTAATCAAATGTAAGGTGTACATATAATATTATAATATATTACACAATAATAAAAAATATAGTAAAAATAAAGATACTTTTTTGTTTAAGGTAAATAAACAAAATATTTAAATATAATATACAATATAGTAACTCATGACATTTTAAACATTCAATTTTCTTAGTTTCTCAATAAACTTTCTTGACCCATTACTGGTAATACTTATAAGAAAGAATTGAACCTACTTGGTTGCATAGTATGTACCGATTGCGGCAAAGGCCACGTCGCGACGCGTCGTTAGACGGTGTGGATCACGTGATGTTCTTACATCTCGCCTCTGTTGGCTTACCAACCATATAAGTTCAGGTATTTCTTTGTTTTGGGTGTGTTCCACTACTACAAGTTGCTCGACGGTGTCGTGTCGACACTGATGATACCCAATATAGGTCAAAACACCTGTCTGTCGGTATTTGAAGTTGATGGAACGCACTCAAAACAAAAAACTTTGGCGAGGTGTAGTTTCAATTCTTTCTCACAACATTTTTGTATATTAAAAAGTACAATAAATATGTTACAATTTTTAATTGTTAACATATAAAAATATTCGATTTTAAAATATTTTATATTTAAAATGGCAACATAATATTTTAAAATTTACTATACTTATTAGTAATGGAAAAAATCTAATTATAATAAGAATTAAAAACAAAATTGGTTGAGAATAATAATATTTTACCTTAAGGTTTAACATACATGGATATTTAAAAATTACTAAGTATGCATAGTATCTGGCAATTTACAAGATAGTTGTCCCAAATAGTAATATAAATTATAGTAAAGGGTATTATAATTAAAGTAATCAGCATTATACTTTTCTCTCCGTGTGCGATATTATTTACCTATTGCGTCAGGTTTGTGGGCTTGCATGTGCAAGTACCCGAAGTTGCTCAACAAAAACTTAACCTTATCCAAAACAGGATACAACTTGTGCGTCTTCTCTTTCGCTATTATCAAAGAAGGCACCAAGCTGAACATCATAATCTTAAAATCGGAATACCGATTCACAAGACAGCGCGTGGAATGTATACCGAATAAATGATCAGGGTATAAGGTGGCTATGGTCTGAGCTATTGCAGCCCCCCAGTCACCACCGTGTACGTAGAACTTCGGAAAACCCAACTTCAACATGAAGTTCTTCAGTAGTACCGAGTGTTCAATCAAGCCCAACCCTGGTTTTCTCGTGGCATCGGAGAAACCGGAATTTGGCAGGGATGGGACGATAATATCGAACACAAAGTTTACACCGGGTTTGTGCTGGTTTAAGAGAGGTATAACATCGTAGAACTCCCTGACGGAACTGGGCCAGCCGTGCAGCAGCATCAAAGGTAATACGCTGGGCGGTGGGCGCGTCGGGTCTATTTTTGGGCTTAGGCGGATAAAATGGATTTTTAAACCCTGCACTTTGACTGTGAATTGAGGAAATTTGTTGAGGTATTTCTTCCTCTGCGTCCAGTTGTAATCTTTATGCCAGTGCTCGATGATGTCTTCCAACAGGTTTGTGTTGATTCCGTACTCATGGTTTGTACCATCCAGAGATTGCGTGATTTTATATGAAGATAATTGTTTGTGTAAGTCCTAAAAGTTGGATTTTGAAATATTACAAAGTTCAACACGATTTTCCTTCCATGAAAAATTTTAACAGATTTTAAAAATATTTGTAAAAAAACGTATCCGTGTCTCACCATGATATTTAATAAAACTAAATGAGTTTGCCCCACACTTTTATTGTGTTTTGATCTTTCATAATTAAGTAGATATTACAGCTCAGGTTCCAGATTTTTAACCGCAATTAATTATTTTTTACAATGTTTTAAAGTCTAAAACCTATCCTCCGTGACAGTTACTCTTTATAGGTTAACCTATATGTTTTCAAATATCTGAGGTAGTAAAAGCATACTAAAAATATCAGTTCACTAAGTAAATTAAACACATCCAAAGCAATCGAATCAAATATAAAATATTATTAAAAATTAAAAGAAATAATATTTATAACCATATGTAGGTGTTATAAAATTGATTCTATCCTCCGTGAATCTGTTTTTGCTTTAAATTTTATGCAAAGGATGGCGCTTTAATCATTTTAAATAAGCAAAAACCTCTGTTTACGACATTATAGTTGCATGTGATTCTTTAAAGTCAGTTAGAATTTATATGCAGATGAGAGTGTTGCTGTTTTATAATTCAAAAGTATTTAAAACCTATCCACCGTAAAGTGTAATATCTACTTCCCAAAAACCCCATAGACTAACAGTGAAACAACCAAAAATAAAAAATAATCATTTTCACATGGGGGACATCTCAATATATTATACAGACATTTTTATTATTTTAACCTATGTATACACATTTTTAATTCTTTATTTTGTTATAAATAGAGATGGGATTTTATTATTATTACCTATTTATCTACGCTAATCATAACTTAGCAATGGAATAAAATCCGTTTTAAATTTTACATTTTACACCTAAACTAGTGTAATTTTACCTATTCCACCAACATTTTTATTTTTAACAGAAATTAGCTAAATTTTTAAAGTTTACCATAAAAAACGTTCTTTTTTATAATATTGGGGTTGTATTTAGATGACATAATTGCAACTATAGTTATAAAAATATTTCTATTATAATGAATGTGAATTTGTTATTTTCCGGTATTGTATGCTTATTAACAAATACCTACATTTTATACAGTACATTTGTATACAATAAGAAATTTAATTATTTCACCACCTAAAATTTGCTTTCCAGTACTTTAAGAATTTAAGAATTTTCTCACCTAAAACAAGAAGAAATTTGACATAAAATCCCATCTCTATTGTTATAAATATGGGGGTAAAATGTTTGGAATCTTAAAACATTGTTTAAAAGATTCCATGTCAATTATTTAACATTTTTCAACAAATTAACCGAGAAACCCCAAGGCATATTGGGCTAACTTGAAACGTTAATAACTTTTTTATTTTAAATGTAACACCCGGTAAGTTTTAACTTAACCAAATACCAAATTAAAAAACATTTCGATTAATGTAACTACTCCCCATACCTAATCTTAACGATTTCAGAGATACTCAACAATTTCCAAAATTTTAAATATTATTTTGTATCAAGAAACCTGCAGGTTACATGTAACGGGTGTTGACGGTATCTGTTATCGGTTACCACATAATCTGTCATCGGTCAATTTTTTAAGTTGTTATAAACAATTTGTTGACTAATTAAGTGTTTACTGATAGAAAAAGCAATTTTAAAATGTTTGGAATCTTAAAACATTGTTTTAAAAGATTCCATGTCAATTATTTAACATTTTTCAACAAATTAACCGAGAATCCCCAAGGCCAATTGGGCTAACTTTAAACGTTAATAACTTTTTTATTTTAAATGTAACACCCGGTAAGTTTTAACTTAACCAAATAGCAAATTAAAAAACATTTCGATTAATGTAACTAATCCCCATACCTAATCTTAATGATTTCAGAGATATTCAACAATTTCAAAAATTTTAAATATTATTTTGTATCAAGAAACCTGTAACGGGTGTTGACGGCTGTTGACAGCTGTTATCGGTTACCACATAATCTGTCATTGTTCAAAATTTAATGGCGTCAATTTTTCAAGTTGTTATAAACAATTTGTGGACTAATTATGTGTTTTGTAAACAAAATTACTGATAGAAAAAGCAGTTACGTAATTTTAAAAACATTGACAAGCCAAACGTTTTTAAAATTTAAAAGTAATACAAACAGTATTTGCTAATTTTGAAAAAAATCAATAAAGCTGTCAATTAGATGAAGCACTAGCTTATTGGAGACAATAAAATATAAAATTTATTTTATGAAATATTTTAAATAGCAAACAAGTTATAGGCTATTTTTAATTGACGCGCATTTGTCAACGAAAAAAAATAATAACTCGAAAACTATTTACTTTAAGTATAGGGCCTGGAACAGTAATTTTACTCAGAATTTTATGTACATTTTAAAAATGTAAAAATATATGGGGTGTTCTATTTAAAATAACAAAGTTGATGTCACTTCCGGTCAAACCGGAAGTGGCATTTTGTTTAAAATATTTTAGCAAAATAGGCTTAATTGGATTATAAAAGCTTTAAAAATTTCAAATCGATATCTTTTGCCGTTCCTCAGAAACTTTCAATGGACCACGAACGTAAAACACCCGTTTTTCGTAAACGGCAACACCCTGTATATAATAATTATAATAATATAATATAACATTAAAATAACTTTAAAATAAATAATTTTAATGGTTGTCCACACTTAAAAAAAATTACGTGATCTGAAAAATCGCCGAGACACGGGTATCATTTTTTTAAGTCTTTTTTCAAAATCTATAGGAATTTTTAATGGGAGGTAAAAAAATCAAATATTGTCGTACTGTGTTATTTTACAAGAAAGGCACTTTATTTTAACGATTGTATGACATTTGGCAACTGTCAACTAACTTAAAACTAACTTCAACCCGTGACTAAAATCCTGTTGATAACATCAGCCCGTGACTAAAGCGTCATAAACTTATCACTTAGTGTCATGAAAACATGTACGATAATGGGCGTTTTAAAGGTGGAAGTAGAAAAAATATATTATATCATTACAATACCTTATCATTTAAACTAATTTTAAATGGTGTAATATCCGATTCTTCATTGTACTGTTCTTTCCCTACACCCCACCACGTGTCTTCAAATTCGGGAAGATCAGGCACTTTTTGTGAAAGATTATACAAATAAGTAACTAAAATAACTAATAAAATTAGGAAACCCTTTGAAATCCAATCCATACTTTATAAAATCTGTTAACTTTTTGGTTGTTATAGTGAACAAAGATTCAGGAACTAAAAATTTAAATAAAAAAGTGGTGTGAAGAAAAACACATTTTTAGTTTACTTATCTTCGTAAGTATAAGGTGAGCTTGTTTACTTATTTTTTAATTTAAAAGGTGCAGATAACCATTCATACACTCATCGGCAAAAAAAAACGGCCACCAGAAATTGGCCACAATTTTGTTTGTTATAAAAATCAGATTTGTTAACATAAGTTTATAACAGAATATACAGTGAAGTGGGTTAAAGTTATAAAATACATCAGTAATTGTAGTAGTACCAAATTTCTTTATAATTTGATGATTATTTTTGTGTTTATTTATGTAGGTATGTGTTAATTGTTTTGTTTCAGAAATTGATTAATAAAGCAACATTTCTTATCAAAATTCTTTTCATTTCTACAAAGAGGTTTGTAAAAATAAGTTCTTTTTTAAAATTACAAGAATTAGGGTTGAATTATTGACAGGATTTTGTTATTAAATCTACCACATGTTTATTCAATTAACTTAACATAAAGTTCTCTGAAAAATATTTGGATAAAATTAAATAATATTTTTTTAGTGTGTTTTTGCCTGAAATTTGTGACACCCTGTGGGTGCATCATCAATAACAGCGGATGTTATACTGTAGTCCCATCTTTTCTGAATAATTTGTTTTTTTATTTACGTTACTATCTCTGTTATTAACAAAGATACACTGTTTTAGAGTAAACGCCTACATTTTACAAAAAATGTTGCTAATTTCTGGTGGCCTTTTTTTTGCCTGTTAGTGTATTTAGGTAGTGTTAAAAAATAAGTACTTTTGTTTTATTATTTTAATTTTGTAAGCAGTAAAATAAAATACAAAAAATAATTTATTTTTTTATTGACAATAAATAAAAATGTACAAAATAGAAAATTGGATTTCACTACAACAGACGTTCAATATCCACCATAAATGCAATGTTCATTACCAACAAAATTATTGTCACAATATCTATAACCATTGTACATACAGGACACATCGCTATTCGTATTATATCCACCCCAACAATCATACCCACTCAAAAAATTACAATCCTGATTATCACCATTCCCATAATCATCACAAAACAAATTTCTTTGATGTTCGCTGTAATTACTCCTAATAAGAGTGCCAGAAAGTAGATTCGCTGTAGTTTGGCTCAAATCTCTGCTCAAAAACTTGATGAAACGCGTTATCTCCATGGGCCTCCCCTCTTGGAGAGTTTGAGTTAGAGCTGCGATATAATTTCTTGCTAGGCGAAGCGTCTCGATTTTCGACAGCTTTTGAGGGGCCGAGTTGATGTCCGAGTGCGTGATTTGAATGGGCATCCTGCTGAAAATATCGTCTGTGAGTTATAAGGGTCCCGATTGTGACCCTTGCGGAACCCCGCCCAAGCAGCATTTTTGGTTCCAAAAACCATTACCAAAGTGGTGATAACTTTAAATTAGTTAAGTATACTAAAAAGCTACTTTAATTTTTACTTAAAAGTAATTCTAACTTTTAAATAGCAATATTTTGTAAAAGAAACTTCATTCTTTTCTTAAATGGTTGCTACAAAGTAATAAACATTTAAGTAAAACTTGGTTGCCCCCAAGAAGACTTTGCAACTTTAAAAAAGGTGTTATAAGTAAAAAAAAAACTTTCAAGTAAATTTAATTTGCAGCAGTTACTTTCGGTTGCTACCTAAAGATTACATTATAATTAATTTTACTTTGTAGTCCCTTTGTAAGTTAAAATCTCGAAACTGGAACATGAGTTAAAACCTACAAAGTTAATAACTTAAAAGTTATTATTTTAGTATTTGGAACGTTTATGGTACTAACCAAAACTACCGTAAAGTAAATTAAGGTGAAAAAAAACTTTAAAGTAGCGAAAACATTATAATGCTTCTTATCGGCCATTTTTTACTGTATTTTAATTGTTTGTAAATGGTTGTTTACTTTTTAATAAATAGTAATTTTGTTGGTAATAGAGGGTATTAATAATTAAATAAAGAATTAAGAATAAATATTAAGATTTTTTTATTTATAAACGGGTCGTTTTCAAAAAACACCCGCCTTCCGCTGTCCGTAAGTTTGAATTCCAATGAATTTGTTAAAAATTATCGGATCTTATTGATTTAACAACCAAGTGAAAGCCTAACAAGCCCTTAGTAAACTCTTTTAGAAAATGTTTGTTTAGCTATTTCAGAATAATTTTTTTTTAATTTTGAAAATTGTGAAACACACATTTTCGCATGTCCCATTAGCGTTTTATAAAACTTACATACATGTTTTTTTTTAATATTGAATAACCAGAACTTTGTGTTGCTTGATAGCAATCCATAACATCCTTAGTTAATACAGTAAACAATGTATATATAAAATAATTAATTTTAATCTACTTTTTTTAAATTTTTTTAAATTTGTCCCAGACATTTTTTCCGTTGCGTTACGTCCGTCGCGTTACCGATAGAATATTAAAAAAAACATATAAATGGCAACTTTTTTTGCACTCACGTAATCAACAAATGATGTTCGGACGTACACATTACCCAGCTGAATTTATTTATTCAATCAGAAAGAAGATATCGGTTGAAACAGGTGCGGGTAACGCGAATGTAATAATTGTTTGTCCGCTAAGTTTCTCAAAAAAATAATAAAAATATGGTAAGAAAAAATACTATTTTTCATGTTTATTTTTATTTTATGGCACTAAAGCTCATTGAGAGTAATTAATGACTGTAATGTTTTATTATTATTTTTTAAATATGGTTACACAAAACTTTGTCCACTGCGTTACCGTTGTTAATGCATTACTCTAAAATCGTACCACCCCTTATAGTTTCTTTTTTACGTTATCTGATTAAGTCCTTTGTGTACCCCAGTCCATTGTGATACCAATGTCTATTTCGTAACTTTTTTTTGTTAAAAAAATACTTAAAATGATTTTTATACACTATCACTAGGTAATACGTGTTTATAAATTAGAGTTTAACTCACTAAGACAGTGACTAAAAGAAAATATTAATGGCATTGTTTTTTTAACAAAGAATCGGAATGTTTTTTTTTAAAGTAACTTAACGAACATACATATTTAAAAAAAGCATTCAATTTTTAATAAAAAATAAAATAAAAAATTTTAGTCAAAAGTACATTTTATTTCAAATTATTTTTATAACAACTTTTTTTATTTAATTAAATTTTGGATTTCAAATTAGTAACACAGTGGAGATAGATAAAGCTAGCTAAACACATTTTTCTGAAAAAAACGTATTCAAAACTCTAAACATTTATAAAAATCCAACCAAAAGTCAATTTAAGCAAAAAAAAATTTGATCTTCATTTTCCTGAAAGCGGGTGTTTCTTGAAAATGACCTATTGATGAAGCGCATTTATTTTACAATAACTAAATTCATAAGTTCAACAGTAAAATTTAAAGGGTTTATAAATTTACCTGCCTAATTAAACATTATATTGTTATTCTGGAAGTTATAAACTACCAGTACATATTTAATAAACTACGACATTGAAAAGCCAAGTCCGTAGTGGTTCCATTTAAAAAAGGAGGGATAGTATAATCTAATGTAAGTTTGACAAAGACAGTTAATACAGAAGTAGAAACAAATAAATAAAAGTAATTTTAACGCTCTAGCAACGTTATTGAAAGGTTCTAGTAACGTAGCAGCTACGTTCCAAATAGTGGCGGGGTTTATAGCTGGTGTTCCCCACTTTAGTTGTAACTTAGTAATGAAAGAGTAATATAAAGAGACCGGCGACTGTCGCAAAACACTTTAAAGTTTCTTCAATAGTCCCATATACGTAACAAATACTTAAATTGTTGCTTGGGAAGGGTCTCAGTTGTGACCCTCGCGGAACCCCGTCTTACCTTCTCAAAGTATCCAGGGCAGCATTCAGGCCATGCATTCTATTCCTCTCTCTGGCGTTCGCTTTACACCTCCTTAACTTAACTTTGTAAACTCGCGCTTTCTGGTTTTTTCTTACTTTGTTTTCCATCCCGTGGACATGTCAGTTTTCAGCAATTTCAGGCGTGGGGAGTTTTATTTATAACAGTGCGTAATCTTTCGTGTTTGCTTTCAGATTTAAGGCACTTGTCGCGTTATGGGGTGTCAAGTGCAGTTCGATGATAGCGTTTTGTTTGTTTGTTTTTCTCACCATATGTCCTGTGGTGGCATATGGCGTGAAGAATTTGCGCTTAGATTATGTTTTATTAATCATTATTAACGGTGGTAATGTCAATTATATGTTATCTTTGCTATAACATATGGTATATTATTTAGATGTTTCTTGTAGTGTTAACCCTGATAGCAAAATTTGATTCTAAGAATCTTCTAAGAAGATATGACCCGGAATTATGGAATATTTTTAGAACCTTCCGTTATTGCTAAGAATGTTCTTAGGGACTTTTAAAACATTCAATAGATACCCTTTTAATGATGCAATTAGATTCTTAAAACCTTTCTAAAAAGCATTCTAAGAACTTTTTAAGAATACGTTTTTGGAATGTTCTTAGAAGGTTTCTTATGGAGCTTCTAGGAAGCTTTTGAGAATATTTCCAAATATGTCAGATACCCACGTTCTAATATGTTGGATTCTACATTCGTAAAATTCTTCAGGAGGCGACAAATACGCCTCACTGTCATAATATGACAGTGAAATGTATTTGTCGTCCACTTAAAAAATTTTGACATATTAATATTTAAAAATATTAAATAAACAATTTGACCTCTAAACCATAAGTTGTATGACATTATTTCATAAAAAGTAAAATTGGAAAATTTTGTGGGATAAGTCAGATTAGATTGAGGTTGAAGATAGTTAGGATTATTATACATAAAATTGTTAATTCAGAAATAAAAAATCGGTATACAAATTAATAAATATTTATTTTTAACATAAAATAAAATATAAAAAAACAAAATATTTCCTTATAAAATAATTCTTCATAAAAGAAAAAACCAAATAGTTCTTCATAAAAAAACATTTTTCATTGTATTTAAGTTGGATAGAAGGTTTTATGTAAAAGCTGGTTAATTTAGATACCTATAGTAAAAGTATTTTTGTTATCGAATATTGTTTTAATTTGACAAATAACATAAAAAATATTTTGGGTTGTGTTTTTTTACTTATGTAGTATTTAATACTAAGTATAGGTACCTTTATAGGTAGATTATGGTATATTTTACTATTATATAGGTAACTAACTGAACTGAATATGCTTGACAGAATGTTCCAGGAATATTCCTAAATGAACTTTCTATAGCAATTACTTTCTCAACATTCTAAGCATATGTATAGAGTGGATTAATTTTTACCACTAAACTTTGCACCTTCTAAGAACCTGCCTATAGGCCTTAGGATTATGCTATATTTCTTTTAAGCATGTTCTTTAGAAGAAATATAGCATGATCCTAAGAATATTCTCACTGGAAGGTTTAAAAAACATTCTTAGAACATGACTAGAAGAAATATAGCATGACCCTAAGAATATTCCCACTGGAAGGTTTAAAAAACATTCTTAGAATAAACTGTGCTATCAGGGAAGGCGTTCCACAGGGATCCAAGTTGTAACGGTCTTAAATTGGATTCTTGAAAGGTAATTTCCGAAATAAAACGGCTTAAACTAACTAAAATATTTATTTAAAAATATAAAAACAACCCATCATCTATCTCTCAACTGCCAGCTTCCACTGCACTGTCGACAGTCAATTTCTCCAGATTATCGTACACAAACTTTAAGTCGCTAGCTTCACTGTCATCATCGCTAAGCAACGCGACATCCTCGCAAACACCGTCTTCGTTAAAATCGTCGACCCCCGCAAAACAATCTCCGTAACATTCGGACTTGACCTCGTCCGGTCCCTGGCACCAGTCGGTTTCTTTGCTGCTGCCAGCGCCTTCGTTGCGGTCGTTTTCTATCGGAACGGAGCTTCGGTATCTTTTTTCCAGCGGTACGTCGCAGTAGATGCAGCAGAGGTCGCCTGCTTCGCTCTCGATCTCCTTGTGGACCGATGCCTTACAGTAGGGACACTTAAAACCGGGTATCAACGTTATGGGCATCAAGGAGTAAGAGCAACGGTTGTCAGCGTGGGGTGGTATGCAGGTCGAACCTATAAGTTGTGCGAAGAGTTAAGAAAAACAACGTTTAATGGTTTACTTTATTCGGAATCAAAAAAAGGATATTTTCTCCGCACCAAAAACACTGCTGCATATCAGGGAACTTCATCTCATTCGCCATCTGCATTACCTCGTAAACTTCGTCGATAAAAGTTTCTCCAACGTTAGCCTTCGCCAGAACATCTTGTACCACCATTTCCTTTAAAAACATGTTCTGCAAATCAATGCTACGCATTTGAAATTTCGACAGTTCCACGCCTTGATTTTTCATGTTCATTAATTTGTTGATTCTGTACACAGCATTTTTGATGCAGACCAAGTAGTGCAATATTAAGTATGGTTTGATATCATACGATTCTATTTTTGGGACGTGTGTGTACAAGGTCTCAGAAATTTTCGATATTATTCTTAAGGTTTTTAGTTGGGTTAGAGAAAGCTTGTCGTAGTTTAGATTTGGGTCTATCCCTACCCAAGGAAATCGTTTTTCTTTAAATGAAATTAATCTAAAACAATATTTCTTTGTAGAGAACAAAATTACACCAAAACAATTCATATTCTCTCACCTTAAAGCTTCAAAACAGTCCCAGTAGTCCCTAAGACTGTTGGTGTGGTTATCCCACAATTTCTGAAAGGCATCTTTTTTGGTGTCATAAAAAACATACAAATTAATAAACTGCCTTCCTTTGGAAGCGTCTCTGGACCTGCAGGGAGTAGTTAAAATTTTAAACAAAACCTGATTTTTCGACATTAAAAAACCATGCGTTCTCTGCCTGCTAAAATCTATGTTTGGTACGTTTAGTGGGGACTCCTCTACATGGATTTTATTGTAACTAATTGTTAAGGTAACTTTTTTTAATTCGCCTGTAAATGTTAGCACTACAAGGCTATTTTCCCCTATATGCTCAACACCTACAGAAAAAAATGAGTTATTTGCAGTTTGAGTATACATTTATTTTTATTTTTACCAGAGACATAGAAGTTGGCAGCGTTCAGTGCTTTTCTATCGAAAAGTTGACCCTCTTCGTTTATAGCGTTAAAAATCAAAAAATTAGCTTTCACTATAACCAAAAAAGTTGTCAATTCATAATCGAATAGAATAATTTTATCCACAGCTATACAATCTTGTTCCTTCCAAATTTGCGTTTCATCGCTAAAATCCACATTTTCTTCATCTAAATCGCTGATTTGAAGCAAGTTTAAACAACCCTTTAAATCTCCTAAACATAATCCACCCCCTTAAATTTCAAAAATTAGAGATATAAGACCCGCACAGAATTTCTGAGAGAAAAATAACATGAGCTCATACAAACTCAGGATTGTTGTGAGGGTTGTATACAGGGTGTCACCCAATAAATTGTTATCCTAAATACCCAAAAGTTGAGTAAATATTTTTCGCTAAAAATCAATAAAAATTATCATTTGTCAAATTATTAAGAATTTTGGATTTTCATTCCATCAAATATATGCATATATTTAGTCTCAAGTTAATAATTTTGGGTTTTTAATACATATAAATTGATTTTTTGTAAGCATATGGGTGATTCTACAAAAGTTGGACAACTTGATGTCATCATCAATAGAGTAGGTATTTTAATATTTTTTGTAAATATTTTAGTAGATTACAAAAGATCCAGGTTTTTTTAACTTGTCCACCCAATTTTAATGTATTTTTTCAAAAGCACGTTTGTAGAAAAACATAATAAATATTCAAAACATCAGTACCTTGGCGTGTCACAACTCCTGAATCAAATATTAGAGTGATTTTATTTTAAAATATATTCAATTTATCTTAAATTTTTCAATTTCACTACAAACTATTAAACATTAAATAATGTATTTTTCATATTTTATCATAGATTCGAATAGCAATTTTTAAAAAATCGATAATCTTTGTTCTCACTTTTACCCGTCAGTTCTGTGTCCAATGTTAAAATTCAAAATTCCTGCGAAATATTGAAGTTTAAACGTCAAGTCCTCGTTTTAACTCAAGTGTTGGTAAAAAATTACCTACAGAGACCGCCCTTTGCACGACAGTCATCTTGAAAACAATGCAAGCGGCGAAGTTGTGGTGAATGCACGTATAGTTCCAGTCAAAATTTCAGTACTGTGGTGAGTAGTTATTTTCTTACGTATATATATTTCACTGTAATTTATATAAGGCTATATGTAATTTGTTGATAAGTAGCATCCACTAATAAATAATATCAGTAAAATACAGAATTCCGAATTATAATCTAAAATTTGCATCTCATTTATCAGTACTGTGTCGTCAGTTCCATGTTCAATGTTTCGGTTATCTTTTTTTCGCAAACTTCAATTTAAATTCTGCTTGCTTAGAACTTGTTTATTTAATGTCATTATAAACTCATATAAATTTGGTGTGGGTCCCATATCTAATAAATGAGATATCGGTATACCCAAAATCCACCAGCCGCCACTGATGTGTGGTATTATTTGATTTTAAGATATTTAATGTATAATATGGTCAAAGTTGCAATAAATCTTATATTTTCCAATAAATTATGTATTTAATTAGTACCCTGGTATACTCGTCACTTCCCTTGCATTCAAATTTAGAAAACACAGTCTGGAACAGTATATTTATTAAATTATCTAAGTTCTCATAACAAAATACTGTTTAATTTTTTCCGAAAACTATATGAACAAAATGAGGTCAAAAGTTGCCCAACTTTTGTAGAATCACCCATATCTTTGAAACGGCTTGACTTACGAAAAATGTCAATCAGACCTTTTTTGTAGAGCATTAAATTTCCTATATGGGGTAATTTTGTCTTACTGATGAAGTAACTAGTTACCACGTTAAAAAACTCCAAAGTTTGAAAAAAAAAATTCCCATGTTATTTAAATTTATGGGAAATAGAAAATTACAAAACGCCACCATGTGCTTTGAAAAAAAATAGTTTTTTGAGCATCAATCGACTTAAACAGTGAAAGGTTCAACTTAAAATCGACGGGAAAACCAAGAAAACCTCGAGATACCTAACAATAAAAAGTAAGTATTATTAAATTCAAAGTACCTAAAATAAGAACAGGAACAACCAATGGCAGCTCAAAATTTTTTATTTATAAAAATTTTAATGATATATTTTTTTTAATAATGGCACTAATGCAAAAATGAAGATTTGGTGACACCCTGTATATTTAAAGTTAAGTATATGCTCACCATTGTTAACTCCAATATTATTGGAGCTACAAAGTCGGTGAAATTAGCAAATTGGTGGCATTTTTTCTTCTGATTATAATGGTGAAAACAGAAAAACAATTAAACGTCGGGTTTCCGAAATATTCAAAAAATATTATTTTTTTAAATGGGCCACCCTGTATATTTTTTTTATTTTAAAAGACAATTTAATTTGAAACAAAAAAATTATATTGCATAACAGTTAGCAATTAAAGTTACTTTAATTGCTTATTAATTGTTAATTTTAAGTTTAGGGTAGTTATGCAAGTATAGTTTTTTGTTTAAAATTAAATTGTCTTTTAAATTATGTAAAAATATACAGGGTGTCCCATTAAAAAAAATTCGGAAACCCGACGTTCCATTGTTTTTCTGTTTTCAAATTATTAATTTAATTCAACCAACTCTGTAGTTTCAATATTAACAGAGTTAAAATGGTAGTAATGGGTATGTCAAGTATTATTAATAATAATAAAAAAAAATAAAATTATTTACTTGTATATGTAGTTTGTTCCCAGTGTAATGCTGTTATTCTATCCAAAGTTGTTTTATATCTGCCAAGGATTTTACAATCTGGCTTTAGCAGTGATATTGGGTCAATTTGTCCTATACGTAGTACTGTAATATGCCCATTTATGTGACCCACAAACAAAATACTATACTTCTTCCCACTTATACTAAATACAGGGCCCCAATAAAATGCTTAAAACTAATTTATAAAAATAAAACTTATTAGGTAACAAATAAAATGTTACCTGTTGTTGAAATATTTTCCACCCTATTTTTAAGCTCCTTTAATCTACTATCAGCAATCAATTTATCCACCCTCTTCCAAGACGGTTTCAAATACGCCATAATCTCCTCAGAAACATTTAGAACACTCTTATAACTTACAACCTCACTCTCGTTAATATTTTTAACATAAATTTCTAAACCGAAAACATTTGTAGTCACCCCAAGTGCGCACTGTTGCCCTTCGACTAGATCCCGCGCAGACCAATGCGCTCTCAGCACTTTAAACACCAAGGGCGAGGTGTTTTTCAAATTAGCTGAGAGTTCTATTCGGCACACACTCTCGTACAAGTCGAATTTATCCAAATCAGGGTAAAATTTGTTTATATCGGCATCCACATTATCGCATATCATGTAATTCGACGGCTTTATGTAGTCGTTCCTGCATGCCAGCTTAGGGTATGAGTTAAAAGGCTGCCCTTTCGGTTCTATTATAAAAATTCCTGTGTCCCCTATTACGTAGAATCTCGTGTCGTCGGAATATTCGCATGCGTAATTCACTGTTAGTTTCGTGGATAGTTTCAGGTGGTCGACTAGTTTTAACTCCATGTTTATCGTTAAAAGAGTTTTTCTTGTATGAACATTTTGTTTTGGTGAAAAAGTGAGGTTATGTGCAATGAGTTTAATCCTGGTTGCCTACGTACACAATATTTTTCTCACAATTATTTTAATAATTTAATAATACCTATTTTAATATTAAACGCACAATCCATTGTTTATTTTTTATTTATTTATTTGTTCTACCAAAAAGGCTCTTGACCGAGGTCCTTCTGTCTTTCTATTTTAAATGTTTAAATTTAAAAATGTTTTAACCCATGGATTGAAAAAGAACACTTAAATAATTTCTGAAAAAAAAGAATTTTAGTGCTCTGGTCAGGGTAAAAAAAAGAAAATTCCAGAGTATGAAGTTGGTCACGAATGGTCAAAGAAAATCGTTTAGTGAGTGTCATGGGAAATTACTAGTGGTTCTGCATAAGTAAGAGAGAGATAGAAATAAAATTTATTTATTAAATCCAATATGGCGGCCGCCCCAAGATGGCGTTTTACGTATTTCTTCACTACCTCCTTGACAAGTTTGTTCCTTATGTTCTGTGGTTTGTTCTATACGCTAGTAGTAGCTTATGTTAAAAACGACTGTTTTTGAGATTAAAGCCGGAAAATGTTAAAAAAACATCGAAAAAAAAACCGTGGCTCGATTTATTGTGTTGTTGGGGGTATTTCGAGAGGAAATCCTGGGTTGAGTGCACAGAACATAGTGTTTACCGGTTTTCCAATAAACGCTGTTAATCCGAATGAAGAAATAAATTGCATACAGTCTCTGTAAATATAAATTGTACCTATTTGATACAATAAACACACATTTTAGTAGTGATTTAGTAGTGATTAACGTAAAAATCGTCAAACAAATAAGTCGTCTAAATTTAAATAGCATTTAGCATTATTAAAAGCGTTGATTAAGAATGTCTCCCCTCAACGGTAAAATACCCATTATATTATGTATTATATATATAATATTATGTTGCCATGAATTTATAGGTATATTTTGTTGTTTAAAATGCAGTTGTCGGCGTTTTTTAGAGAACTCAAATATAAAAATGGTTGATTTTAAGGTTATGTTTGTGCAAAAAATATTTTTTACTAATTTCTTAAAATGTCCAAACCGAGGTCCAAACTTAAATATAAATTATACCTATTAGGTAAAGTTATCATTAGTTAATTCTGCACCAACAAATGTACTTACCTAATTGGATCCTTTGGCAAAACATGAAAATGCAACGATTTAGTTCTTGCGAAAACCCGATACTTCTTTAGCGTATAAAGTTGACATGGGTATCAAATGAAAGGGTTTGACGGTTAGAAAACGGTAGGTATCTAATACAATAAAATAAAGTATAAATAAAAACACCAGTAAAATTAAAACTTAATTTATTAGATAAAAACTAATAAGGTACACACATTTTCCCCTTAAGGCAGTCTTTCATTTTGACAAGGAACCAGAATTTGAACAAAAATATTCACACAAAGCATCTCTTATTTCAGAAGAATCCATACTTTCCATATTGGAGGAGAGTTTTCCCACTGACGTTAGTGGTTTGCTTTCCAATCGCCATTGGCCATTGTCTTCATCACCCACATCTGTATATCCAGGCGGACAATACTCATTTTCATTTTCTGTTTTGCAATAATTGTGAAGAGCAACCACTGCTTTAACCATATTGTCCACATTTTCCGCCTTGGCTTGTATGCCACCTTTTAGAATTGCCCACCTTGCCACCAATATTCCAAAAGCGTTTTCTATTACGCGCCTTGCCTTGGAGAGTCTGTAATTAAATATTCTTTTTTCAATGGTCAAAGAGCTTCCTGGGTAAGGCCTCATGATGAAATTCCTTAAAGGAAATGCTTCGTCTGCCACAAAAACATGGGGCATTTTAATGTTTGTGTCTGGAATGCATGCATCGTCAAGAAAGTTAAGGTTTTCCTCGTCCAATTGAACCCCAAATAAACTGTCTCTAAAAACACCTCCATCACTCTGCGACTCATACGCACCTATGTCAACAAGAGTAAAATTATAATTGCCATCACACACTGCCATTAGTACAATACTAGAGTTTTTAGCACTTTTTGCCTGTATATTAATGTGTTTTCCATCCAATGCGCCAATGCAATTCGGGAAATTCCATAAATTAAAAAAATCATTGGAAATTTCTTTCCACTGGTCTTGGGAGGGTTCTTCAAGGTACGACGGTGATAAAACATCCCAAATATGTCTGCACACCTCATGAATGCTTTGCTGCACACTAGTTAGGCCCCTTTGATATAAACCAGCAATATTCTTCATTGTACCTCCTTGAGATAAATAGCTAAAATATTAAAGTTAATAATTACAATTTTTCATATCATCTTACCAATTTATTACTGTAATGTAATGGCAACCTTTTCTTCTGCGCATATTTGATCTTGTATCCGTCTACGTTTCAACAGAGGTTCTAATTCCTCAACCAGACTATTAAACACCGGAACTGTCATCCTGGTATAGTCAAAGAACCGTTCTGGATCATTTTTTTTAATTTTTAGAAACGTTGCTCTGTAAAAGCCGGTAATGTACCGGTCTTGGTAATTCGGCCGTGTCTTCCAACGTCTGGTTCGATGTTTTTTTTTTATAAGGCAACAAGCTGCCTGGGCAATTAAAAGGGTGCAAATTGCCGTCAAATAAAATTGTTCATCATCCATATTTAAGCACTATAAAGTAAAAACGACACAGAATAAACTTGTAGGTTAGAAATATAAACAAAAAACTAATTTGAGTGTCAACGCGCATGCTTAAGTATTTACCTATTTAGGAGTATTTATTTGTTTACAGTTGGTAGCTGCTGTTGCTAGTGACTTCGGCGTGTTTTGTTGGCATTATGTTAACTACCTTGTGAAACTGTACTAGGCGTCCTTTTTTCTATAATTTAGACGCAAATTGTGTGAAAATTCGTGCTTATAGTGGTGTTTGCCGAGTAAAATGGCAATGACCTCTTCACAAGTGAAACAGCAGCAGCAACAAAACAACATGGCCGGAAGCGGCACTGGTTGGCCCCGGCGAAACAGTCAAAATTCCACCGCGGCCGCCGCGACAACGTCCACAACGTTTAAAAGCGAATTTCCCGTGCAGTCTCCGGCCATCAACAGAATAATCAACCTGTAAGTGGTTCCGCCGTCAATGACCTTTCCCCCGATCTATTACAGCCGATTTTAGGTACCCCTTGACGAATTACATCTTCGGTACGAAAGAACCCCTTTTCGAGAAGGATCCGAGTGTGCCGGCGCGTTTCCAGCGAATGAGGGACGAGTTTGATAGGATAGGCCAACGTAGGAGTGTCGAGGGGGTACTTTTGGTACACGAACATGGTCTGCCGCATGTGCTTTTGTTACAGTTGGGGACTACGTTCTTTAAGTTGCCTGGTGGCGAGTTAAATCCGGGAGAAGACGAAGTCGAAGGCCTCAAAAGACTCTTGACAGAGGTACGTGAGATATTTAGTAATTGATATTGTGTCATTTAGCTTGTGGTATGCATTGTTATGGTTGTATTAAGTATTATAATGCGGGTTGTGTTAGTAATATTGAGGATATTGTGTCACTATTACTATACATGGTGTTCATATAAAAAAGGGGTTGATTCTGTATTAAACGGGAATTTATGTAAACAAGTATTGAAAATTCAGTCTGTTGTTTAGTTTAAGCCCACAATGTTTAATTATTGGAAGAGTTGTTAAAACAAGATGTGCACTTAATACTGTAAAACAAGTTTAAGTTAATCAAAAGCATAACCTGGTGTTTTACAGTAATAAGAAAAAAATGCTGTGATATTATGGAGGTATTATGTATTAACTGTGATGAATAAATTTTAATCCCTATTAAAGATATTAAGTTTTATTGAACTTAACACTATTCAAAAACGCAAAATAATGAATATGTAAAAGTAATAAAATTAGAACACAAATGTATTTATAGCTTTCAAATTTAGGTAAAAATTAAATTATAAAAATATACTTTGGCGTCCAAGTACTTAAATAATATATAATTATTGTCTAGTTAAAAAACATTTTTTTTAACAATTATCAAATGCTTAGTTGGTATTGTTATTTACCAGTACTAATGTTGTTTTTATTTAAGTTGATAATAATGAGTTTGTTTTAATTTTCAGGTGTTAATATTTTGTAATTTAATAGTTGTATACAAGGTGTTTAGGTTTTGTACTAATAATAAATTAATTATTTGGATTACTTTTGAAACACTTTGTATAATTTGTTGAGATATATTTATTGTAGATTATTTGTAATAACATTTATTTTGCCTAAGAATACTTAAAAAATATTTAATGTTTAACTTTATTTAAATAGATTGTAAAAAAATATATTTAAAAATTAGAAGACAATAAATTAAATTATCTGTATAAAATTTTTTAAGTTTTTTAAATTAAAAAATAAATACTGTTTAAAATGAATTGGCACAGATAAGTGTATCTTAAATTTAGGATATCAAATAAAATTTGGTGTTACATGGTTTACAATGTATAAGATGGCAATTTTTATGTGTGTATAATATTTCTTAAATTAATATTTTAGGATTACTTTCTAATTTTATTAAAGAATTCCAAAATTATTATAGTCGCCCCTATTATAAAATCTGACTGCCGTCAGACGGTTCTAACCTCACTTTAAAAAATAAAATCTCATCTTCTGATTGGACCATAACTAGTGTTTTAAAATTTCCGGACAAATTGAGCCGGCAAAAAAATAAATAGGTACGAAACGAACATTTTTACCAAATTTTCTGAATTTTTGAAAAATTAATATGTAATACAAAAAAAAATGCAAAATTCAATTTTTCTGCAAATGTTTCCGTTTAAAATGCTTGTGATGTTATAAAGGCTCAGAATAAAAACTGAAAAAAAAACGTTTTTTTCTGCAAGGCGGCCATTTTAAGCGCACGAAACGCACCAATTACAAACATGTTTTTATAAAAAAAATTGTAGATAATTTATTATACACTGAGCGTCAAAATTAACGCATAAGTAAAATTCTAACTCTAAAACGCCTTTATCAATATTTATGAAATTCTATATAAAAAAATTTCAACTTATATCTCAGTTTACGTTTTCAATGGTTTTTCGAGAAAATATTTTTAAAGCCCTTTTATTTAATAATAAAAAAACGTTTGAAAAATAACTTTTAGGGAATTTTTTTTAAGTAAATAAAAAATATGCTGTTAGAGGCCGTATTTTTGTTAGTATACCCTGAACATTTTTTACAAATCAAACGAACAGTAACGAAGATACAGCGCTTCAAAGTCGGTAAAAATTACCCCTTTTTGATTATTTTGCTGAAAAGTTGTCATTTTTGACGATTTTGAAGCGCTTTATCTTCGTTACTGTTCGTTTGATTTGTACAACATATTCATGGTATACTAAAAAAAATACGGTCATTCACAGCATATTTTTTTTTTCCTTAAAAAAAAATTCCCTTAAAAAATTTTTTTCCAGAGTTTTTTATTATTAAATAAAAAGGCTTTAAGGATATTTTTTCGAAAAACCCTTAAACATGTAAACTGAGATATAAGTTAAAGTATTTTTATGCAAAATTTTATAAAAGTGTAAAGGCGTTTTAGAGTTAGATTTTTTTACTTGTTATGCGTTAATTTTGACGCGCAGTGTTTAATATTTTGGCATCAAAATTGTCAAAAATATTCTTCTTTTAATAGGCATAAATTAAATAATAAAAAACATAGATTCTCTATGAAAAAAACTCAAGAAATATTTTATAAAAGTAGAGATAATTATTATTATTAAAATTATCTCTACTTTTATAAAATATTTTTTGCGTTGTTTTATTTAATGTTAGTATAGCCTAATTAAAGAAGAATATATTTGACAATTTTGATTCAAAAATAATATATAATAAAGACAGTTTTGTGATTTGTCCCGTCCGTATTTTTGAAATGGCCGAAGGTGTGAAAAAAATGGATTTAAGAAAAGTTATGGACCAAGTAAAAATAAAGTATTTATTTATATGTAAATGGCATAAAACATGCTTCTTTTCTTATAATGTGTATTTTTTTTTTAAATTCGGTTTTTTTCCGATGATTTAAAACACTAACCATAACCCATGAAGAAATTGGTAAATTTTCTCCATAGTTCAAGACAGCCACTTTTTCAATGGAATACGTATAAGAAATGCACAAATTCTTTAATATGATTAGAAAAATACATTTTTTTAAAATATTTTCTTAAAAGGCTTCAATGTTGACAAGTTTTTGAAACTTAAATGCTTAATAACCATGTTAAAACTACTTATCAGGAATTTTGTTTATAATTTTAATTTTCGATAAAAAAATTAGGTTGTCTATGTCTTATACTTTGTACTTTTCTTACCCATGTAACACTAACATAGGTCTACAACTATTGAAATTAAAATGAAAAAAAGTATAATGCACTGTTTTGTTATATTAAAAATTGCATTAAATTTGTTTTGGTAAATATATTTATTAAATTATTTAATTTAAATAGTATAAATTTGGTAAGGCTGTATTTTTTCAAAATAGTGTGATACGTCATTTTAGTTCCAACAAAATTGTATACTAAAATGGCATTAGATTAAACAGTAGGAAGATAGAGCTGTATGATTTGTTATGACGTCTATACCAGGGTGTTTAAAAAAAAATCGAATATTTTTGTAGAAAGTGCGAACCAAATTTGAGCTCTTAGTATTAATAGGAATATCCTTCTCATCACAGTTTTCTATTTTTTCTTTAAGTCCCTTATAAAAAAGACCATATTTCATTATTAATTAATCGTTAATCAAATCTTTATACATATTTTTGTAGGAAATTAAATGCTCTTCAAAAAAGGACTGATGTGTTTAAGGGATTACTCTAACCATTTAAAAGATATTCAAGTTTTAAGAATTTATTAAAACATTTTTTTTTTTTGAATAATTTAAAAAAATAATTATTATTAAATTAATGACATATTTTTGTAGGAATTTTAACGCCCTACAAAAAAAGGTCTAATGTGTTTAATTTATTACTCTACCCGTTATAAAGATATTCGTATCAGTACGCATTGGGATTCGGATACGGATATCTTCTCAGCGGTTAGAGTAATCAATTAAACACATCGGACCTTTTTTGTAGAGCGTTAAATTTCCTACAAAAATATGTCATTTGAAAATAATAATTTTTATTAGATTAGATTTACAAAATTATTAAAAAAATACGCTGTGGCTCCCGTCCCGAGGCGGGACCAAAGTTCAGTCCCGATTGACGTCATAATTTTAAGATTTGTTATGTTATAATAAAATAATAATAATAATAAATTGTACCTGTATACATGTTAAGGGCACTTTAGTTACGTCATAAAACCAAACCAACCCAAACTCAACAACACAACCCAACCGACCCCGCCCCATTGCCCCCCCCCGCCCCATTGAGCAAAAAACCCAACTAAAATGGGCAAATTTATGTTACGATAAAAATAAAACACTTTTTAACAAAGAAACAACAAATTTATAAAACAAAAAAAATAAAAAAAGTTTGACAACTTCTAGTGGGATCGAACCCGGTACCTCTCGCATGCCAAGCGACCGCCCTACCATCTAAGCCATCGAGCTTGACACAAATTATAAAATCTCGGGGAATAAAAACGGATTTACAGTGTGTGACGTCAATCGGGACTGAACTTAAGTCCCGCCTCGGGACGGGAGCCACATCGAAAAAAATATTTTTTTTGAATTCTTTCAACTTTGATCTTGAATATCTTTTAAATGGTTGGAGTAATCGCTTAAATACATTAGTCCTTTTTTGTAGAGCATTCAATTTCCTACTAAAATATGTATAAAGATTTAATTAAAGGATTGATTAATAATGAAATATGCTCTCTTTTCTGGAAGTGCCTAAGAACCAATTTTGTGTCGGAAGTACAAAAAAAAATTCGATTTTTGCTCTATCTCCCCACTCTTTAGTTTAAGGCGATACATCTTGAAGTAAAAATTGTTGTCAAAAATTTCCGTCACTTTTCTGTTCTGTTCATTGAAAAAAAAAATGAAAGAAGACTGTTAAAAAAAGTCACGAGAAGAATGTATACGGTGCGCGGTTTCTTTTTATGGCGAGTTGTTGCAGACGTTGGGCAGATTGGACGGCGTGAAACAGGACTGGCTGGTGGAAGACATCATCGGCAACTGGTGGCGGCCCAACTTCGAACCGCCGCAGTACCCGTACATCCCCCCGCACATCACCAAGCCGAAAGAACACAAGCGGCTGTTTCTCGTACAGCTGCAAGAGAAGGGTATTGTATTTCACATATTACACTTTGTATTTCAAAATTTACGATTGCGAAAACGAAGAGAAGACTGTATTGTATAGTGGGGAGCCCTGTCGCGGACAGAAATCTGCCACGAAACTTTCACATTTCACGTATAAAAAACAAAATAAAAACACCAAATGGTATGAGGCGCCGTTTGCGTCAAAATTATTTTATGCTTTTATAGATAAAAATTCCACACATATATGAGAAAATGCAAATATAAAGTTTCTTTTTGGTAAATATATAGAAATGTAAAAGTAAAGGTACAAATATAAAGTTTTGTTTTGGTACATATATAAAAATGCAAAAGTGCAGGTACAAATATAAAGTTTCGTTTTGGTACATAAATAGAAATGCAAAAGTGCATGTGCAAAGTTTCGTTTTGGTACACATATAGATATGCAAATATGTGGGTACAAATATAGAATATAATATAATGTTAAATAAAGTGTAGCATGGGCCGTTGGTACAAATATAAAAAGTAAGGTTTGGGACGGAGGCGCAAGATGGCGTTTTCAACACTTTTAACCGCGCTTAAACGTACGTCTGTTCTTACTACCGGCATTTAAGTTTCCAGTTTAACCTCATTTTTAATGTTTGTTTGTTTTAATTAAAACGAATCGTTTTGTAAAAAATAGGTAAGAGTAAAAAGTAAAACGGCGTTAAAAGTAGTTAATCTATAATACACAATAGAAAATTTAAATGCCGGTAGTAAGAACAGACGTACGCTTAAGCGCGGTTGAAAGTGTTAAAAACGCCATCTTGTGTCTCCGTCCCAAACCTTACTTTTTATATTTGTACCAACGGCCCATGCTACACTTTATATAACATTATATTATATTCTATATTTGTACCCACATCTTTGCATATCTATATGTGTACCAAAAGTTTTGGTCCAAAACGAAACCTTGTACATGCACTTTTGCATTTCTATATACAGGGTGTTTCTTTTAACTTGAGACAGCTCAATATCTCGAGAAATACGCATTTCACGGAAAAATGTCTTAAATAAAAAGTTAACGTGGCTAAAGGGGACATTATTTGGTGCTACCGCTAGCCACCCCCTACCCCTCCTTAAGGGTGAAACGGGGGGTAACTTTGGAAAGTCAAATGGAATGACCCGATTTTTTTCACAGAGTTTGGTAGTCCATAAAAAAATAAATAACTTTTATTTAAAACTTTTTTCAATTTATCAACAGATGGCGCTGTAATTCAAAATTTAAGAAAAATGAGTTTCCTTGTAAAATGTATTATTTGAAACGTTTAAAAAACAAAAATTAACATTAACAACAATAGTCGGCTATGAAAACAATTTATAACAAATGTTCGAAATGTCGTCATTCCATTTCAACACATTTTTGAATGCGGGTAATGAATTCTGGCACACAACGCGCCAACATGTCGGGCGGTATCGCCGCACAGGCGTTCCTGATCCGCTCCACCATGTCCTCCCAAGTTGTAGGAATTGCAGCGTAAACTTTTTTTTTCAAGTAACCCCACTGGAAGAAGTCTGGTGGCGTAAGATTAGGTGATCGAACAGGCCAAATTACTGGACCACGTCTACCGATCCACCGCGGTGCACCGGCCATTGAACTCTCGATCCAACACCTCTCGAGCAATTGTCGAATAATGTGCAGGACAACCATCTTGCTGGTACCACATGTTTTGGAGCCGTGCTAGTGGTACATCCTCCAAAAGGTCCGTCAGATCGTTTTCTAGAAAATTCCGGTACTTTTCGCCATTTAACGCACCGTCAATAAAGAAGGGTCCGATTAATCGTTTGCTTAAGGTACCGCACCAAACGTTTACCGACCAGGGACGCTGGTGCTCCACTTGGTGGCGAAATGGAAGGACGACATTTCGAACATTTGTTATAAATTGTTTTCAGAGCCGACTATTGTTGATTTAGTGTTAATTTTTGTTTTTCAAACGTTTCAAATAATACATTTTACAAGGAAACCCCTTTTTCTTAAATTTTGAATTACAGCGCCATCTGTTGATAAATTGAAAAAAACTTTTAAATAAAAGTTATTCATTTTTTTATACTACCAAACTCTGTGAAAAAAATCGGGTCATTCCATTTGACTTTCCAAAGTTACCCCCCGTTTCACCCTTAAGGAGGGGTAGGGGGTGGCTAGCGGTAGCACCAAATAATGTCCCCTTTGGTCACATTAATCTTTTATTTAAGACATTTTTTCGTGAAATGCGTATTTCTCGAGATATTGAGCTGTCTCAAGTTAAAAGAAACACCCTGTATGTACCAAAACAAAACTTTATATTTATACCTGCACTTTTGCATTTTTATATACAGGGTGTCCGGGAAAAGGAGGTCAATACGTTAACCATATATTCCTTGAGTTAAAACAATAAGACTTTCATAATACCATTTTTCAATTTAGAGCTTCATGTTCGATATACAGGGCGACAAAGTTTGAAATTAAAAACTGATTTTTTTTAATAATTCGAGTAATTGATAAGATACTAAGTTTAAATTCGGTACACTACTTCAACATAAATAGTTACATTTTTTGAGACCAACAAAACAAAAAACAATTGTCAAATAATCAAAATAGGGGGGTCCAGTACTCACTGACTCCCCCAATTTTTTTGTACGTGCGCCAATGACTTCCAAACGAAATTTTTTCAGGTAATCATTTATTGTTGAAAATTTTTTGTCTCTTATAAAATTTTGATAAAATGATTTGTTTTAGAGATAATTTTTAAAGTATGGGTCAGTCCAAATCAAATTTTCAAAATTTAATTTTTTTTTGAAAAAATGTAGGTCATGTGATATATCATAAAAAAGTTCTCTAATAGGCCTTTAAAATAAGACATCACTCGCCTTTCTACTTTTAATAGTTTACGAGATATCGCTATTTTTGTAAGTACTTGCAAGACCCAAATTTTTTGGAATTTTTTGATTTTCAAAAATCAATAAAACAAAAACCAACTATCGAAAAAAATTCATATATGGGATTTTTGAGTTTTTTAGTGAGGTAAACAAATTTACCAAAAATGATCAAAATCGGAGATGGTAGGGGGAAGAACCTTTGGTTGATTTGATATGGACTGACCCATACTTTACAAATTATCTCTAAAACAAATCATTTTATCAAAATTTTATAAGAGCCAACATTTTTTTAACAATAAATGATTACCTGAAAAAATACCGTTTGGAAGTCATTGGCGCACGTACTAAAAAATAGGGGGAGTCAGTGAGTACTGGACCCCCCTATTTTGATTATTTGACAATTGTTTTTTGTTTTGTTGGTCTCAAAAAATGTAACTATTTATGTTGAAGTAGTGTACCGAATTTAAACTTAGTATATTATCAATTACTCGAATTATTAAAAAAAATCAGTTTTAAATTTCAAACTTTGTCGCCCTGTATATCGAACATGAAGCTCTAAATTGAAAAATGGTATTATGAAAGTCTTATTGTTTTAACTCAAGGAATATATGGTTAACGGATTGACCTCCTTTTCCCGGACACCCTGTATGTACCAAAACAAAACTTTATATTTGTACCTTAACTTTTGCATTTCTATATATGTACCTACCAAAAAGAAACTTTATATTTGCATTTTCGCATGTATGTGTGGAATTTTTTATCTATACAGGGTGTTTCATAATATATGCGCAGGACTTCAGGATGTGATAGCTCATCCAAAAAGATGAAAAAAGTCGCTATTAACTTACCCTCTAAAATGCACAATTTTCGAGATACAGGGTGTTGAAATTTTAGAAAAAAAATCGTTTTTTTAGATTATCTCTGGAACCGTTTATCTTACAAAAAACAGCTTTTGTAAGCATTTTCTACTCATAATAAGCTATGTTTTGTGCCAGAAAAAAAATTTTTTTTACTCATAATTGGTGGAGATTTTGAAGGGGTAGCGGGTGTTTTTCTCCTCAACCTCAACGCCCCTGAAAAAAGTACAGTTTTGAGAGGCCCATTCGAACCGCCAATGTTTTCTACAGAAAAAAGGTACTCTTGGTCATAAGCTCTAAAGTTGACCGTTTTCGAGAAAAATCAACTTTTATGTTTAAAAACATGGTCAATTTTTTGAAAAAAATTTTTTTATTACTAATTAAACAAAATTTATTTTAACGTTAGAAAAAGTAACAAAACCAAACGATAATTGCAAAATTAAAAAAAAAAATTAAAAATGATTTTTTACTCAAATGCTCAAATGTGCGTTGGAGAATTAAGCAAAGACAACTTTTAAATCATTTTTTATTTTGCAATTATGGTTTGGTTTTGTTACTTGTCCTAACCTTAAAATAAATTTTGTTTAATTAGTAAAAAAAAAATATTTTTTTTTTAAATTGACAATGTTTTTAAACATAAAAGTTGATTTTTCTCGAAGACGGTCAACTTTAGAGCTTATGACCAGGAGTACCTTTTTTGTGTAGAAAACATTGGCGGTTCGAATGGGCCTCTCAAAACCGTACTTTTTTCAGGGGCGTAGAAGTTGAGGAGAAAAACACCCCCTAACCCTTCAAAATCTCCACCAATTATGAGGAAAAACAAATTTTTCTAGCACAAAACATAGCTTATTTTGAGTAGAAAATGCTTACAAAAGCTGTTTTTTGTACGATAAACGGTTCCGGAGATATTCGAAAAAAACGAATTTTTTTCTAAAATTTCAACCCCCTGTATCTCGAAAATTGTGCATTTTAGAGCGTAACTTAATGGCGACTTTTTTCATCTTTTTTGATGAGCTATCACATCCTGAAGTCCTGCGCATATATTATGAAACACCCTGTATAAGCCTAAAATAATTTTGACGCAAACGGCGCCTCATAAAATGGGGTGCTCTGCTTGATTTTTATTTTGATAAAAAAAAATTGAGGATGATCTTTTCACGGTGCTGTTCTGAGAGGTGATTTTTGGACTTTCTGTGAAACCTAATTTTTTTTTATATTCTTGTTAATTAGGTCATAACTAAAATTTTAAGAGCAAAGTAAAAAAAAATTGACGG